GAGCTGTAAATGGTCAGCGTGCTGTGTTCGAAACCCTGGACCACGTTCCTCGGCAAAGGACAAGACGGGTGTGCACGTACTCTTAACCAGTTCAGCCGTGCATGGGATGTGACAGTATTGCCTGTGACCGAACAGCTTGCAAGGAACGAGACAATCCCTCTAGTAACTGCATATGGCACATTTCACAAGGCATATCCTTGGCCTGAGAGTACACCATGACGATTGTTCCTTCATTTCTCTGACCAGTTGGGTCCACACTTGAGGTCCATAATCAAGATGGAGAGCAGCCAGCTTGCTCTATAGGAACGCATGCAACAATGTTCAGTAGACGGCATAATCCCGACTCCTGCATGGACAAAAACAAAATGAAAAGCCACACCAAGTCATAAGCATCAAAGTTCATTGTGAGGAATTATTGATCCATGACCGAGTACTGTAGAACGGGTAATTCTAGCGACTATTAATTTTAGCGTTTTCCCATTGTCAACCGGTTAGCGACGTTTCATTTTAGCGATTTGCATTTTTCTTCATTGTACACATTTTGATACTGCATTCTACTACTGTATGTACAAACCATCACTACCGTGTACTATGAGTGCTAGTACGAGAGAACATCATAAAACATGTGCTAACTAGTACTACTACTTGAAGTACTAGTATTACTACTTACTACTCACGGATCACCAGTGCACTACTAATGTCTCAACGGATTAACGACTTGAAACTTTAGCGAAAATGAGTCGATCGCTAAATTCACTAGGGTTTTTACGTCGCTAAAGTTACCCGTTCTACAGTAATCGGTATAATCGTTTCAGCCCTACTTGTACAGTGCGTATCGGTTATAGCGTGGTCGTGAAAAAGAATATACTGCCTACAAGAATGAACTCTCATGTTTTCATAATCATAACATGGATTTCAAGTGCACATTTATTCTTACAAGCAATTTTATAGTACAGTAGAATATATCGGTCCTAAGAATGGACTTTGTGTAGCAAAACATACCAGATTAGTACAAAGTATATCGCCTGTAGTAATAACATCCGTCCAATGCAGTTCCGACCTGACTCGCGTTGGGTCGTAGTGCTGCAGGTTCAACTGTTGTGGTCATGTAACTCATGTTGCATAGCCACATGGTAAGCCTATGTGACTATGCCCAGCCGCATGCACTGTAACACTACATTGTATGTACGATGATCTTCCTGACTCCGTGTACATGCACGTGATATGTCACACTTGATTTATCGTGTGTAAGAAATATCGGAATAAGAATAGAAAGTCGTTTTTCAAACACCCACACTATAACCGATGCCCACTGTACTTCGTAGGTGAACCCAATCCCACGGGCCACGACACGCTGATACCACAGGGTCCACCATATGCCATCTTTACACGGTTTAATGCGCAGCTTCCACATTCCATACCGGTAACACAACTACAAGCACATGCGCCTCTATGTGAGACCAATCGACCTGCAAAAGTTACAAATACGGCAAAAGCGTGTGTATAAGCGCATGGGCCATTACAATATGGTCCTCTTGTCAGGGTCTGTTCACTGCAGTGCTGTCCTTTTTTCTCGGCTTACGGGGCAGGAATACCTCAACAGGAATGTCCCCGTTGTGTTGGTGATGTGCACGCGGCGTGGGTCGGCTAAGAGTGCAGTGTGGAATGGTGGAGTGAGTTAATTCACCGAGAAACGATGAAGGTAATAATTGCGCCTGCCGAACACCATGAGACTCCAGAACATGTCTTTGTCTATGGAGTAATTAAGAGTGCATACATACTTATTTAATTCTACCCAACTTCCCATGACTACCATGTATGAACTGCGAAATCGGGTGAAGAGCCTCAATGGACATCGCTCTGAACTACAATTTTGACCCTCGTTTGCAGCTGATCTGAGAACGCGATCAGCCTTTTGAAGTGTATCTGTTCACATTCAAAACACCCATTAATATTTGTAACATCGTAGATAATTGTCCTCAAGTTTACGAGAAGAAAATCAGAAATCCATCAGCCATACTAGTTTTCGTGATTCACGTGTATTGGCAACTAGGGTATTAGGAAAAATTCGCCAAATTTTTGGGCAAGTTACTATCAAGACAATTTTTGCTTTATGAGCAGCCTAGGACAATGGACTATACATACCTGAGATCTGGGCGGTGTCCGGTAGTTCTTTTTTGGTTCTCACGCCATCAAGTATTTTGGCATCCAAAAATCATAAATTCTGGACGACGCAAAATTGAGAAAAGTGGCTCTGCTGCAACATGACGGAACAATCTCTGGCGGAACGGCTTCCAGATTTTGTTTAGGGACTATCCTAGCCCTCAGCAGACCAAGTTACAATAGCATTCATGAAAGTCTTCCATGCCAAATCGAAGACGATCAAAATGGTGATTCTGCTCAAAATTGGTCCCAGAAAAAGTCGAAAAAAGCGGCGTCGTCATCTTCATTTTGCATAAAGATTCGGGTCATTTTTGGCCCTTGGCAGCGCATGGACTGTACAAGCAGCAAGTCATGCATGACCATGATGACCTGGCTGGCAAGTGAAGCGCTCGGCGCCAAGCGCTTCACTTGCCAGTCATGCATGACTTGCTGCTTGTAATTGAACTTGTATGGTGTGACTTGGTGCATTTCTGTTATAACGCACTTCGGTTATAAAGTACATTGTGTTCATCATCGATCAGGGTCAGGATCATGCAGGAGTATATCTACGACTACGAGTCGACGTCTGCATCTGTACAATCGATCATGTACCATGGTATGGCATGTGTAAGGGAGTGGTACTTTTGACTGCAGTGAAGACCGACTTTTGTTTGATTTGAACTTGAAGTTGAAGTCCGAAGACAAGAAACATACCGTAATAATCCTGGACCTGGCCTGGTTGCATCGACATAATCATTCCGTAGTCATTATAGCTACTCAGTCTGAGTTGATCTTGCTAACGGTAACTGAGTAATTCTAAATACTGGTAAAAAAAGTAATAGCAGGATACAGTCCATGTCTAGCGTACATGGAAATACCGTACGAGTATTCGTACTAGCATGAGATCCTGGCATGCCCATGTTTCGTTCTTGTAGACGACAGTTACTGTATATGGCCAATTTCCCCAAACCAGCAGTTGCAGTCCTAATTTGTTTGCTCATAGCAGTTCTGCTCGTTTCATTGTATCGTCACGATGACCCATCGAGGTGAGTGCCTACAGACAAACCCACATTGGTCATTGCCTTACTGCCGACTGTATCCGCTAACTACTACTAGTACACCGTATGCCTACCTGCATGGAAACTGGAAGTCATTTAAACAACGAAATGTACATTTCAGGTGCATGACAGTGTGCATGACAGTGGTATTCATGACTGTGCATGACATAGTCGTGCTCAGTGAAATCCGATCTTATGAGCAAGTTATCCGCATGCGCCAGTGTGCAGCCCAGTGTCCACAGGCCCAGTGCCGCATCGCAACCAGCGCAGGGTTTCTCACACAATCAGACTTTATTGAGCAGTGCCATAGATTGCATAGTACAGTTGAACGCCGATTATCCGGGCGTCGACTGTCCGGATGATCAATTATCCGGATCGCCTCATCGGGCTGTACAAAAACAAAATTAGTAGATTTTCGAGGTTTATGGTGATGTTCTCCACTCGGAGCACCATTCAAGCGATGCACAAGATGTATTACAACAGGTTGGAGTCAAAATGCAGAACAATAGTGTCATTTTGAGGAGCTGGATCCGTGCCTAGTTCCTGTGGTACTACCGAAAAGAATGAAAAATGATGAAACGTGCGGGAATATGCATGTTTTAGATAGATGTGTGACTGCTCCCGTATCCGAACATTTTTCTCATCCGAACCCCCTGGAAACAGCTCGCGCCCCCGAGGGGTGCGGATAATCGGCACTCTTCTGTACTGTCGATTATGAGTTATTGAGACAATAGGAGCGTATCATTGCTTGAATGAACAAATCATTTTTGATAAAGCATTTGCACTGTTACTAGCACCCTATCTGTATTCATAAGTTTGGAGCTCCTGTATTATAATCTTTGGCTATACCGAAGGTCTGTAACATCACGAAGTGACGTAGTGTGCCTGGCATAGCCATGGTTCACCCCCTTTATTGCGTACATGTGTGTGTCTGTGTGTATGTGTCTGAGGTGAGGTGTGTGTATGTGTGTATGTATGTAATACTATGTATGGATGTGTATGGATGTGTGTGTCTATGTGATCTCTCTGCAGGTTTCCTGTGGACACCGTGGAAGACAAAGATGCTCACTTTGCCCATCCTGGGCTCAGCAAGTTGAAATCCTCGACCAATCGTCACCCACAACCTGGCCAGGAACAACCCGGCACCCATGCAGAGCTGAGCTCTAAGTGTACCCCGAAAACTCCGCAGCAGTTGCTCCTGGACTCAAGCAAAAATCGCCAGTCTATGTTTTCACAAGCCAAGTTTACTGCTCCTAACTTCTTCCTGAACATGAACAGCAAAGGTTGGTCTCAGTGACTGTTTGGCTCTGCTTGTACGTTACTTCACATCATTGATATATGCCTTGCCAGTGTATCTATGCCCTGCCAGTACTCTATGTCCTGCCAGTGCACTATGGCTGCACTCATTTCTGCCTACATTGTAGAGTGGAGTAGAACAGATGTTGGTAAAAGAAAAGACGGTAGATGGAAAGTTCACGAACTCTTATCGATGCTTATCTTTCTACTCACCCTATGCATGCATGTACACGTACACGTATACAGCTGTGGCAAGCGAAATCCCACACTTGTCATAGGGGACAGCGCCACAAATGGACATCAATGATGTAATGTGTTGTACATTAGTTGTACATTAGAGCCGTATGCATCCCAGACAGGTCGAAAGGTCACAGCGTAGATACACACAGGTCACAGACTAGGTACACATAATAAAATATAAGGAGTATTGGCATCCAGTGCCCATTTATTTGACCACATTTGAACCTTGGAGGTGAACCTTGACTGTTACGAGTACGAGTTCTGTCATGAGACAGATAAAAGGTGTATATAACGGATGTACTACGTATGCATAGCTGCAGGGGCTGAAAACTGCATGGTGTAGTCTCTTGTGCCAAGTGTCGGATTTCGCTTGCCACGACTGCACTACATACTGTATTTCCGCGCATATAAAGCCATGGCGTTATAGGTGAAACATTGCTGACCAAATTTTTGGAGAAAATAGCCTCGGTTTTAAAACGCCATGGCGCTAAAAGTGAGAGACGTGTACATGCAAAAAAATTGGCAGAGTATGAACTTCGAGTACTTGTACGGTGCCGTTGCACGTTCATGTTGAGCATCCATGTACTTTCAAATTTCCCTGAAAATTTCAAATTGTGAACCTATTGTGTACAAGGTGGCATACAAACTTGTGTGAAGTTGTGATGGCGGTATGGCATGGACAGTGGGAATGGGTACATGCAGAGAGAATCACCGCTACTGTAGGTTCACTGAAAGAATTGAACTCACCTTTAATTAACGCCAGATGCAACTTCCTCCACATCGAATTTTGTTCACTTACCGGTATAACGCCATGGCTTTATAAGTGAGGGTGGCCTTATATTTGGATATAACGCCATGGCTTTATATGCGCGGAAATACGGTACAAGTACAGCGATGGTCACTTCATAGTGTGTGTGTGTGTGTGTGTGTACATGTGTGTGTGTGTGTGTACATGTGTGTGTGTGTGTGTGTGTGTGTGTGTGTGTGTACATGTGTGTGTGTGTGTGTGTACATGGGTGCATGTGTGTACCTGTGTGTGTGTATATGTGTGTGTGCGTGTGCACGCACACGTGCGTGTATCGCGTGTTTGTGCGTGTGTCTGCCTGGGTTAACACGGCATTCACATTCTCTTTCTTCAGAATATAGGTTTCACAGTGATGAGGATGTAAAAAAGCCGAGGATAGTCTACCTGCATCATAACAAAGCCGGTGGGACATCTATCAAGACGTGCATGAGAAGGATTGCTCAACATCTAGGTAAGACCAGAGTGCTGTGAACGTTGCAGTGAAGCAGTCCTACTTGTTCATAGCATGCTACAGTGCAACCTCGGGTATCTGCTTATCCAAAACTCTCCGGTGTCCCACCATGCTCTATTTTCTAAGGGCTGCTTGTCCAGGTCCGAGTCCATACTGTAAAACGGCTAATTTTAGCGACGGTGATATTTTAGCGACGTTAGCGAAAGGAGTGTTTTTGCTAAAGGTATATATATATCCTGGCAATATCCTGGCAATATCCTGGCAATATCCTGCTTTGTCACTACATTCACCATCTAAGACATTGACATGAAGTGGAAGAAACCATATCTTTGCTATCAGCAGCGAAACCAAGCGACAAATGATCAAAAATTAGAAATGGGGAAACGGTTTGTGGAGCACTACAACTTGTCATCACAACTGTCCTCTGGATCTCCAAATGGCAACCCTATCCGTTGTTATGGCAACCCTATCCATTGTTATGGCAACCCTATCCATTGTTATTCCTTAGAGTATTCAGTGTGATAGTGATGCCTCCTGCCCTTTCCAAAATGCAATGGGAGTCAAGGTAGCTGGGAGCAAAGTTTTCGATTAAATAGGTTTCCAAGTACAGTTTGTTCATTTAGTGTGTTGGACTTTGTACGGCTTCTAGAACTTTGTATGGCATATAGGACCCTCAAAAGTATGTGGGACTTTGTACGCCGCGTAGGACTTTGTACGGTGTGTATATACTGTGTGTAAGACTCTATACTGTGTGTAAGACTCTATACTGTGTGTAAGACTCTATACTGTGTGTAAGACTCTATACTGTGTGTAAGACTCTATACTGTGTGTAAGACTCTATACGGTGTGTAAGACTCTATACGGTGTGTAAGACTCTATACGGTGTGTAAGACTCTACACGGTGTGTAAGACTTTGTCTGTACTCAGTACTGTGTAGGACGTACGATGTGTAGCAAGTTGTACGGCGTGGTGGACTTTGACTTTTGAGTGTACGACTCAATGCGGCGTGCCCGACTTTATACGACGTGCAGGACTTTGTATGGCGTGGAGGACTCTCTACAGTGTGCTAGACTGTGTCTGGTGTGGACTTCTTACAGTGTGTTGGACTCTGTACGGCGTGTAGGACTCTCTAGAGTGTGTAGGATTCTACACGACGTGTAAGACTCTATACATTGCGTAGGACTCTGTACCGTGTGCACGACTTGGTACGGCGTGTACGACTTTGTACGGCGTGTACGACTTTGTATGGCGTTTGCAACTCTCTACAGGTCTGCTCTCGATATAACAACTCTCACTTGTACATAAACCTCGTTAGTACATAAAGTCAAATCCCGCGCCGAAACAGCATCACTCCCATACAAATGTTGTTCTACACAACATAATTCTACATAACATAAACCTCGACATAACACACGCTACAGCGGTCCCCGACGTGCGCACTCTCGATACAACATAAATTCACGTGCACGGTATGATCAAGCGGTAGCTGTAGCTAGGCAGTTTAGGCCAGTTTAGTCCTACATAACGTAAACCTCGGCATAACGCACCCTACGGCGCAGTCCCTGACGTGTACACTCTCGATACAACGTAGATTCACGTGCGCGGCACAATCAAGCTGTAGCCGTAGCTAGCCAGTTTAGTCCTATGTGCATTATATTCTGCGGCATTGATGGTATCTGATGTCGATGGTGGTACAGTGTGTATATGTTTGCACGGTTGAACCCGCCTTGTAATACCCTTCATTTTGAGGTGCATCTTGTATTTTACACACGGTTTTCTACATAAGATAAATCTCGATATAACATAATGTTTGCGTGGTCCCAGAGATTACGTTATATGGAGAGTAGACCTGTATATTGTATAGGACTTTGTACGGCGCGCATGACTATATATATATAGTGTGTAGGACGTTTTACTGCATGCGGGACTCTCAACAGCATGGAGGACTTTGTATAGCGTGTTGGACTCTCTGCAGTGTGCGGGACTCTCTACAATGTGCAGGACTTTGTACAACGTGTACGACTTTGTACGGTTTGTAGGACTCTATATGGTGATAAGGACTTTGTATTGCGTGTGGGACTCTTTACAGCGTGTAGGACGTTGCACTATGTGTAACTTTGTGCGGCATGTAGGACTCCTTACAGTGTGTAGGACTTTATATGGCGCGTTGGAATTTGTACAGCGTGTAGCACTTTTTGTATGGCGTATAGGACCCCCAACATTATGTGGAACTTTGTACGTTGTGTAGGACTTTGTACGGTGTGCAGGACTTTGTACGACATGCACAATGTTGTGCTGCGTATACGGTTATGTACGGTATGTACGACTCTCCACAGTTTGTAGGATATTGTATGGCATTCGGAGCTTTGTACGGCGTGTACGACTTTGTACAGCTGGCAGGACTTTGTACGAGGTGTAAGACTCCATGCAGCGCGTACGACTTTATACGGCATGTGTGACTTAGTACGGTGTGCGGGACTCTCTACAGTGCGTAGGAGTTTGTGCGTTGTGCAAGACTGTGTACGTTGTACAGCACTCTACTGTATTGATTTAACGCAATCAAAGTTAACGATCTATGGATTTTTGTGGTTTGGCGAGGTGAAATGCTAACGAATTCTGTCTCAAAACGGTAAATGACTGTACATGTACATATCATTTTGCACTTAACGAATTTTAACGGATTTAATGAATCGTAAATGATTGATAATTGTGACAAGAAAACGTTCTGGAACACTTTATTCGTTGCTATGGTTTTGTTATGAGTGCGCAGATAGTTTTAGTCATTGCATAATTTAAAAAAATGTTCTATAAAATTACTGGTCTCGGATGGAGAGCCAGGGATAAATTTATAGAAAAGAAAAGGACCAAGGAACTTCTTTTCTATAAAACTACTGGTATTACAGTACTGTAAAAGCCATATATGTAACGAAGTGCTAACTCTAACGAGTTAACGAGGAGAAATCTGTCGTTAAAATAGAAATCGTTATACAGAAATCGATTCATATACCGTCCTATTGAGCGTTGAGAATGAGACAGAATCGTTACCTTTGGTACACGTAAACCAGTCAATTTGGGGAAATCGTTATATATGCGCCTCGTTGGAATAATGGCTTTTACAGTATATGGCGTGTAGGACTCTCTAAAAATGTGTAGGACTTCATACGGTGTGTAGGACTTTGTACGGCGTGCATGACTTTATACGGTGTGTTAGACCTTTTACGGCATGTAGAACTTTGTTTGGTGTGTAGGACTCTCCAGTGTGTAAGACTATATGATGTGTAATGCTCTATACGGCGTGTTGGACTTTGGACGGTGTGCACGACTATCTACGGCGTACACGACTTTGTCCTTTGTGTACGACTTAGTACGGCATATACGACGTAGTAAGGCATGTATGAATCTCTACAGTGTGTAGGACTTTGTACGGCGTACAGGACTCCGTGCATTGAGTAGGACCCTATATGGCGCGTATGACTCTCTACAGTGTGTTGGACTTTATACGGCATGTTGGACTCTTTACGGTGTGTTGGACTTTGTACGGCGTGTAGGATTGTCTACTGTGTAGGACTCTATGCGATGTGTAAGACTATGACACGTCGCGTAGTGCTTTGTACGGCGTGCACAACTATGAATGCTGTGGATGCTATTAATGCTGTGGATGCTGTGAATTGCTGTGAATGCTGTGAATGCTGTGGATGCTATGAATGCAGGCATGACAGTGACCAAAGCTGTAACAGGATTCCGAAGACAGCAAATGGAGAAGCCTGCAGCTACATCTAAGCAGCTAGCTGCTTCATCGTTTGACTTGATCTACGGTGGCTACACGGCAGGCTTGTGCAGTGAAGAGGTACGGGTGCTACATGTTACGGTACTAGTATAGCTCTGTTCTGTGAAATGGGTATTGTGAATGATCTCTCTGAAGTTATGTTGCCATTCAAGTACATAACCACCCATCCTTGTCCATGGTCTATACGAGATGCCCAAGCTATAGGAGTTGAAAGTAAAGTGCTTCGCCACAACCAGGCTGATCATGGCAACACTGAGTTTTTGTTTATCCACTTGGATGCAGGTATTGCACAGATCCATGCATGTTTGGGTTGTTTCCTTCACGATAAGGTGATAACTCTGCTGGTGCTGACTGCAGTGAGCCATCATGCCCTAGACCCCATTGCTGCTATGCTAAAGAAGTCACACCATTCTGCGACGTGAATGACCTACCAAATACATATTGTACTTGCATATGCTCCAACTGGATCCTATAAGACCAAGCTACAAGCTACACGCGAGGGTCCCTGGTTCGAGTCCTCGTGGTGACAGTCAACTTTTTCTTCAGACTTTTACCGTTTGTGTCTTTCCCTCAAACTAGTGAAGATTATATGACCAAGGAGTCCTTGTTTGTTGTTTGTTGACTTGTGACGTCATCGCTTTTGAGCCCTCCTCTTTGTTTTCTTTAGTTCCGTGTACAGTCAACTTAGCTTATAACGACACTCGGCGGGGCATCAAAAAGGTGTCGTTATTCGCGAAGTGTCGTTATACCCGAAGTCTCATTATATGTATTACAGTGGGATGGGACTTTGCTCTGGGCATGGAAATTTTGTCGTTATTTGCGAATTGTCGTTATATCAGCAGTCGTTATTAGCGAAGTTGACTGTAGATGTACTTCATAGACCATGCACGATTTGTGTATACATGTGTTGTAGTTGAATACTGCCGGAGTACTAATTTGTTAGTGTACACCTTTAGAATTAGAAGTCAAGTGTTGACCTTGCGGTAGAACCTCTGAGTTAGAATGCTCCATTAGAATCATCGGGCAACCATTTTGGATTGCTTGTAAGGGAACCAAGCTAAAGGAAGAAAGAAGTGCAGAGGCCATCATGTATAGTTTGCAGAGTTGTGACCAGTCAAGTTTTCCTTTTTTTTTCTCCATTGTACGAACGAATTCCACCCGACAACAGTATTGAGTGCATGCACTGTTCATTCGGTGGACTCTGCTTCATTGTGTGTGTGTGTGTGTGTGTTTGTGTGTGTGTGCGTGTGTGTGTGTCTGTGTGAATCTGTGGATCTTTCCCGTTGCTTTTGTTAGCTCTATGCATCCTCTAGGCCATGCCTCTCCTTCACACTTCTACGAGATCCAGTGCATAGACTTGTATCAAGCTACATGTATTGTCAAAGAAACCAGAAAGATCAGCTATGTGGCTCATGGCTGGTAAGATCTTCAATCATTGAGACATTGTATATATGTATGTATGTAGACAGAACCAGATTTACACTCTTTGCTGCAGTCATAGACTGGCCCTGATGTCACTACTATTGTCAAGCACTAGCTGTGTTACCCGCTATTATAGTCCGTCAGACTGCACTAATACGGCCTTTGGACAATCCTTAAATAAAAATCAATCAATCCATACAAGCCACATTATCGTGGTTGATGGAATAGCCCAATTTTTTGGAAAGAAACCAGCATGCTATAAAATGAGCAGGCTATGAAACTGGCAGTGATAAAACTGATGAGAGTATTCCTGTGTACAACAAAAACGAGTAGTTTTTGGAGGCAGGCAGGCATAGTGGGATGGTCTAAGACCATGATTGAGAAACAGAGGGTCTTTGACCACGTTGTGGTGGATCTGATCTACTCACATCCCACCGCCTTAGGAGCTGCATCTGCGCCTTGATCCTAGAGGGCGGTGGCGTTCCTGCGGAAGCAGAAAACTTGGCCTGCAGCGGAGTCACACGCGAAACATGATTTTTTTTAAACATAAGTTTAGAGAGGATTCAACATGGAACAAAACAGAAACTAAACAGATAGGCAGCCGGGTGAGAGAAACAGACAGACAGACAGGCAGGGATTAAAATCACTGCTTTGACAAAACAAACTTTAGAAGTTGCGACTTGGGCGGTATTAGTGATGAAGTTGGTTGTTCCAACGAGGAACGCACGCTTCCTGCCAAACTTGACACTTGACTGACTTACGACTGCCATCCGGGGCACATGAGGAGCACGTCGCACCTTCTACTCGGCGAACCTGCAAGAAAGCACCACCCCCTGCTCAATACACAGTGTTTTGGGGAATTCACCCCTCATCAGTTAAGCTTGAGTAGGCTGAGGATGATTGTGCCTGAAATCACCACTAAGTCTTATATAGTGCTCTCCAGGCCAAACCATCACCAGGGATACAAACTTACAGAGACGCTTCGTTTCCAGCTCGACAAACACCTCACGAGGCCCCAGGTATGGCTTTGACAAAGTTACTTGAAAAAAAGGTACCAATTTATTGATCACCACCATCATCACGCTCCTTCTTAGGCCTCTTTGGCTTCCAATTACATGTACTTCTTCATGTCAGCTTGCTCTTGCACTTCTAAATTAGCTACTAGTAGAGCTACGGCAGTTACACACGTTCGCAATATTCGTACTCATGCTAGAAGTACTTCCTTACTGAGTGAACAGGGTTTTAATAGGAAACTGTAGTGGGTGAAACCAGTCGCAAATAATCTTATAAAGCTTGCACGTTTGTGATCCCTGAAACCTGGACGTTGAGCCTTCAACACAGCTCCTAGACAGCAGGAACATTACCTGCTCAAGTCCCCTTACAGCTGAGCTGCTGTAGTTTGTGCCCCAAACACACAATTTCAGTTACATGCACTCGATACCCCAATTTTAGAGATCCTACTCTGGTTCCGCCCGTACTAGTAGTAGTAGAATCCTAAAGGACGTTTTGGCTCTTCGTTGAGCTCATTTAGTTAATACACATAGACACTCAGTGTCTTTCCACTCGGAAACAATTCTCCTCATACTTCAGTAAGAATCATTATCATTAGTATCAGAGATACTCAAACTCGTGACTGTCCTCCAAGTAGTTATGATGAGGAAGCGTCTACATCACGACGGCTGGGGTAGATATTCCCACCAGCCGTACGCGACGCAGAAAATGCTAGTGTCAGGATAAGGACATCGTGGAGGCGAATAGAGACATACCGTAGAAGTCTCCGGTAAACGAAAGCAATACGACGGGAAAAGAAGAAGACTGTATAACCATAAACGGGACAAGTCATGGCAGTAAGTATAGAACTAGAAAACGAATGGGAACAGGGTTGACTTGACATAGAACGTACATGTAACAATAAATCGTAATGTTGTCCGACGGTAACACACAGTAGCCATAAATACAAGAGATGCATGCAGCCGTCAAATCAAGAGTCAATGTACAGAGTGAAGACGCATGCAATATCTAACACTCCCTCCGTTGAGGTACATAAGGCTGAACGAATGCATGTATTGTAGCTCAACAACGAATACTTATGATATTGCAAGTATTACTGGTCAAATGCGTAATCCACAAAAAAAGGAGTGTGTGTGTGTGTGTGTGAGAGAGAGGGAGGGAGAGAGAGAGAGAGAGAGAGAGAGAGAGAGAGAGAGAGAGAGAGAGAGAGAGAGAGAGAGAGAGAGAGAGAGAGAGAGAGCAGCGAACATAAATAACAGATTGTCATACTCTGCCTTGCAGGATCAACTGCTGCCGCAGACTGTTCGCTCGAGTGGCTGCCGCTCTAGATGCCCTCGGCTCTGGTACAGATGGCTGAGTGACGGGCGCTGGTACCACTGAATCAGCGGATGTGACGTCATCGGGTGTGTTACTCTCACGGTGCTCGCCTAACTCAACGGGATACAACCGTTGCAGTGGACGGCGCAAACATGTCACGCGACCGCCTTTGGTGGTGTGTTTCACGACTGCTCCGCGGACTTGTCCATCCTTGCTTGGCAGCAACTTCTCCACTCTTGCCAAATTCCATAACCCGCGGGCCACACCATCCTCGTGTATGACCACAACATCTCCCACGCCAACTTCGGCACCGTGACTTGCAGACTTTGGTTTTCGGTGAGCATTGCGTAGCTCCAGCAAGTACTCTGCTTGCCACCTTGTCCAGAAGTGATCGGTCAGCTGTTTGATGTGGACCAGGCGACGCAACACATCATCCCGTTGCACGGTGGCCAGGTCGACATCATCCGGGTCAATCATGGGGCAGGACAGCACTCGTCTGCCGTAGATGAGGTGGGATGGAGTAAGTGGTTCTTCCATGTCCTCTGAAGACACATACGAGAGAGGCCGGCTGTTCAAGATTGCCTCTATCTCCAGCAATGTTGTGAGCAGTTCCTCGTACGTCACCTTGGAGAGGTGTAGGATCTTCTTGAGACAACGCTTGACACATCTCACCATTCTCTCAAAGAACCCGCCCCACCAGGGGGCCTTCTCCAGATTGAAGGTCCAACGTACGCCGTGGTCTGCCAAGCGACTAGCCACTTCTTCCACGGTGAACAGTCCTTCCAGCGACTTCGCGGCTGCCTTGAACGTCTTGCCGTTGTCGGACTTCACCTCTCTTGGCAGTCCAAACCGGGCAGTGAACCGTTGGAAACAACGCAGGAACGACTCTGTTGACAGATCAGGCACAAGTTCCAGATGGAGAGCGCGAGACACTGCGCAAGTGAACAACGCAACATACGCCTTGCGGGTCTCATTGCCATCCTTCACGTACAGGGGACCAGCAAAATCCACGCCTGTGTACGTGAACGGAAAGTCCACGGTTGTACGGAACTGAGGTAGCGGTGGTGCTTCTGGCGTAGAGTATGATGGACCCTCGTGTCGCTTGCAGGTTGTGCATTGGTTGATAAGTCGACGTACAACTTGGCGACCTCGGACAATCCAATGCTGACTTCGTACTTCTGTCAGCGTCTCCTTGACACCATTGTGGCCAACAATTCCATGGCAACGTACCACAACAAGACTGGTGTACGGGTGGTTGGCTGGCAGTAGAACTGGGTGGATCTGACCGAACGTGAGTTTCGCATTCTGCAGTCTTCCACGACATCGCAGAACACCGCTGTTGTCTTCGTAAATACCGAACTCACGAACCCAGTTCGCATACTTCGGGTCTTGGGTTGCCTCTCTCTGAATGTCCTGAGCCCAGACCGCCTTCGCTTTCTCCATGTCGTCAGCAGAGACGAAATTCTCAAGCTGCTGCCCTTGCATACGCCTGACTGCTCGCTGTACCTGGGCTGTGACTCGTAGTAGCTTGGTCAGACTGCTGTAGCTGGTGATATCTATCACGGTGGAGATGCCCTGGGTCGGCGCAGAGCTTGCTACACATACGTGTGTCACTTTTTTCTTCTTCTCAGCTGTGCACTCTTCTGGCACTTCTCCCTCCTGGGGCTGTTGGCCGGGTGGTCGGTTTGCGGTGTGCAACCAGGCTGGACCAGTCAGCCACATTGACCTGTGGAGTTCTGCGGGTGTTGTGCCCCGAGACGGGAGGTCCGCAGGATTGAGCGTCCCTGGGCAAAAGCCCCATGCTCCTGTGCCAGTCAGTCGGTGGATTTCATCCACGCGATTCTGGACAAACTGTTTCCACTCTTGATCCTCATTGGTGATCCACCCGAGTGCGACTTGCGAGTCTGTCCAACAGTGAACAGATGAGATGAGAATCATCTTCTCTAGAGCTTGCCTCACTGTGGCCAACAGGCGAGCTAGGATCAGAGCTGATAGCAGTTCCAGTCTTGGGATTGTCTGCTTGGCAGTTGGGGCCACCCGCGTCTTGGCCATGACCAGCTGAACCGCCACCTCGTCACTTTCTACTTTCAAGTAGACCACGGCACCGTAAGCCGTCTGGGAAGCGTCACAGAACCCATGCAGAGATACCCGACCACTGCTGATAGTGCTGCTGCAGTAGCGACGAGGAACTCGTAACGGCGAGGCGTTCTGCAGTGAGTTGACGAGAGCGGTCCACTCTTGAGCCAATTGTGGCGATAGTGGGGTGTCCCAATCAAACCCGGCCACGTGCAGCTGCTGCAGAAACAACTTCAACTTTATGGTGACGGGTGACACTAAGCCGAGGGGATCGAAGATGCGGGCGGCCTCTGATGACACTGCGCGCTTCGTCATTCGGGTGCTCGGCTTGGCGAAGATGGCTGCTATGTCCACGACTAGTTCATCGTGCACTCGATTCCACTTGACGCCTAGAACTTTGTCGTTCTCGCTGCTGTTTAGTGATGTCTTGGCATACGTCAGGTCATCTTCCTGAGGTGATATGGAGCAAGTCACCAAAGCTGACTTTTCAGCTGTGTCGATGTGCTGCTGGACGGAGATAGAACTTGATGCAAACTTGCGGATGTTGAAGCCACCGTCACCCATGCGCTCCTTCAACTTGGAGTAGAGAGTGATTGCGCTTTCCTCATCGTCCGCTCCGGCAGCCAAGTCGTCAACGTACATTGAATCGCCCACAACGCTGACGAAATCAGGGTCATCAACTTGATACTTGTCCAGATGATGTTTCAGGGTTGCGTTCAGCAGGAATGGACTTGAAGTCAAGCCGAACATAACGCGTGCAAACCGAAAAACCTTGATTTGTCGGTTTGTTGAAAACGGATCATCCCACCATAGGAACCGAAGCACATCTCGGTCATCCTCACCGACGCGGAGCATGTGAAACGCTTTCTCGATGTCACCTGTCAGGGCAATGGCATGGCAACGGAAACGCATTAAGATATCGGGTATCTTCTCCAACAGATTGGGTCCCGCGTTGAGACAGGTGTTGATTGACGGGCCCTTGCCTGAGCGGGATGACGCATCATACACGACACGGACCTTTGTCGTGGTCTTGTCTTCTCGGACAACGGCTTGATGTGGCACATAGTGCACGTTTCCCACATCACCACATTCCGGGTCCTTGACTTCCTCGATGATGCCTGCTGCCAACTGCTCCCTCATCACCCTAGCATACTCATTGAAGACACTCGGCGTCTTCTCCAGCTTCAGGGTCAGGGACATTAGGCGCTTGTTGCTGATTCGAAAGTTGTCGGGCAGCGTTGCATGGACTTCCTTCCAGGGGAGTCGCACGGTGTAGCGTCCCTCTTCGAACGCCACCGTCTCATTAAATGCTGCTTGGACTTGATTTTCCGTGATTGGGTGTATCCCAAGAGACTCTAGCTCCCAGAATTGTTGCAGCTGCTGATCAAGGACCTGCGCCGTTAAGCTGTGCACCTCAGTAGCGAGGCATGTGCCTGTCGTACTAGTTGTGCCTGATGCAGGACCAGACAAGACCCAGCCAAGACGCGTATGGATGGCTGTCGGACCAGCGGCCGTCGTGATCGTCTTGCCCATCATAAATTGCCAGTACTGATCGGCTCCAATCAATAGATCGACTGTGGCTGTGCCGTCGCTGTCGTCTGCCAGTGTGAGGCCTTGGAGCGCACCGCAGCACTGGACTGCTTGTGCAGGGTGCTGGTTCTGGACTGGTGCACAAATTGCATCAATCACGACACACTCCAGCTGCAGGGGGTCTCCCTCCGTACTCTGCACGGTCAGATTCACCACGTCTCTCAAACCGCTGTCCCCACCAGAGCCTTCACCAAAGGCATTCACTTTCAAGCGTTCCTGCCTGCCTGTCTTTAGGTCCAGCCGCCTTTGCACATCACGTGTCACGAACGAGCGCTGGCTCCCTCCGTCGAACAACACCCTCACAGGGATCCCGTTGTCTCGGACTGGTACGCTTGGTGCGACGATAGCTTTAGCGGTCTGCAGCAAAACCATACTGTTGTTTTTGCTGGAGGATGTCAGAGCACTGACAGACGACAGTGTAACGCTGCTGGCGGATGGATTGGTCGGTCCCTTCTTGCTTGGAGCCGATGCTGCCCTAGACTGGTTGTTAGCGGCCGGCTTCTTTTCATAGCGCGACGTGGGTGGTGTCACAGGTGATGGCCTGTCAGATGTTGAGTCACACAGGGTAGTGTGGTGTCGACGTTGGCACTTGGCGCATTTCAACTTCGACTGACAGTGACGGATTATGTGGTTCGGTTTCAGACACAGAAAGCACCTTCCATTGCTCTTAACTATGTCCTTCCGCTTCTCTGTGTTCGTAACGACAGAGCACCTGGCCGTCTCATGACTCTGTCCACAGAACACGCAACTGGCACTTGCCGGGGACGTAAAGGCTGCTAATGCTGCTGCTGTTGGCTGTTCTCTGTAGGTCTGTTTGTTGCGTGTACCGGTCCCCTCAGGCTGTGTGGTGATGCCTATGAGTGTCTCCTGTGCTGTTGTTCTGTAGTCCGCTTCTCTTAATGCCCAGGCCAGCAGAGTGCATACCGTCTCCGCTTCACCTCTTTCTGTCATCTGGCGGTAGTACTGCGTCAAGAGAGACTGTGGCAGTTTCTTCAGGAGCTGCTGATAGAATGCACCAGCCTGAAGTTCCTGGCTGCGTCCAGCGTCTTCTAGGTGAATGACAGCTACTTGGAGAAGATCAGCGAACTTCTCCAGATCCTGGGCAGCTCGTTCCATTCGTATCACTGGTAGCCGCGCCAGCGCCTCTGTATGCACTGCTGTCTGTCTTCTATCGCCACCAAACTTCTGTTCTAGACGCCTGATTGCTGCGGTGTACGCTGCTGCTGAGTATCCATAAGATTCTATCGCTTTCAATGCTGAGCCCGTCAAACACTGACGTAGTTGCAATAATTTCAGCTCTGGCGATAAATCTTGCTGCTCAACGCAAACCGAGAATGCTGCTTTCCATGTTCTGTATGCTGTTTTATCACCACTAAACGTAGGTATCTTCACTTTCTTCAGGTGTCGGTACACGTCTGTTGGTGCTGCTGTTGACGATGTTGAGCTGGCTGTCATTCCAGACCAACTGGTCTGCGCGGGTTGCTGCTGCTGGTATTGTTGTTGTTGCCGCTGCTGCTGTTGCTGCTGTTGCTGTTGCTGTTGCTGTAGTTGTTGCCGCTGCTGCTGCTGTTGTTGTAGCCCAGACAACGGCTGTGGCCTGGGCCTCGGTAGCGGCGTGGAAAACCGCTGCGGCGGTAGCATGCGTGATAACGGCTGCGGCATAGACGACGGCTGCAACGTAGACAAAGGCTGCGATGACTTCGGCACATAGACCGACTGGGACGCGTACAACGGCGGCAACAAGTGCTGCGACACAGGCAACGGCAAAGACTGATCTGCCGACAATGGCGGCAACGACTGCTGCGACACGGGCAGCGACTGCTGCGATACAGGCAGCGACTGCTGCAACACGGGCAGCGACTGCTGCGACACGGGCAGCGACTGCTGCGACACAGGCAACGGCAAAGACTGATCTGCCGGCAATGGCGGCAACGACTGCTGCGACACGGGCAGCGACTGCTGCGATACAGGCAGCGACTGCTGCGACACGGGCAGCGACTGCTGCGACACAGGCAACGGCAGAGACTGATCTGCATACAACGGCGGCAACGACTGCTGCAACACGGGCAGCGTCTGCTGCGACACGGGCAACGACTGCTGCGACACAGGCAACGGCAAAGACTGAGACGCAGACAACGGCGGCAACGACTGCAGCGACACGGGCAGCGACTGCTGCGACACAGGCAGCGACAAGTACTGATACGCAGACAACGGTTGTGACATACATGAAGGCAAGGGCTGCGACAAAGACTGCGACACATACAAAGGCTGTGTGTGTGTGTACTGCATGCGTGTGCGCTGTGATTGCATCCTAGACACAGGTTGCGATGCAGTCTCTGGGGTCTGTTTGCCAGGTTGCCACAATGTGTCCATGGAGTTGTTGGTGTGGGCCAATGGTGCTGTCCCAGTGTTGAACTGCTGTGCATTCTCAATCATATACTCGGTGCTTTCTGGAACAATCACTGGCGTAGCAATGTCTGGCACGAAAGCGTTCGCCCACGTTGTATCACTATTTGCAGTTGCACCTTCTACGTCGTTTGGATACTCTTGCCGATCCTTCGTATCTGCCTTTTGATGATGACCATAGCCTTGTAAAGCCGTCTGATCACCAGCGGGTTCGCATAACGGCGCACTCTCGCCCGTTTCGGGAACCTGTGCGTCTGCCTGTGCACGACTCGTGCTGTCTGTTTGCTGCATATGGCCGCTCAGGACAAGGCCTGCAGCTCCTGGTGCGTGATCCGTGTCCTTATCTAGACTCGCTAAGTATGCTTTCACCTTATCGGCATTCCGGGTGTACTGTACACCACTTATACTAGAGCTCGCACGTGAACTGTTGTAGTTTGAACAAATTCCGTACATGTACTCACTAACCATAGCCACTGTGTTTGCATACATTTCTTGTGTTGCTACATACTCCTCGAACAACTCTGGATCCTCCCGCAATGTACTAAGCAAGCAATGTACTTTTAGGTCCAGCTCCACGAGTGACAGTTTGACAGCACTTACAGGTGATCCATTTTCGATATCGTTCAGAACCGCGATTCTTGCTTTGGCGAAGGCGACACTCTGGTCAGCCTTTCTCGACCTCGCATCCATTGAATCCGGCTCGAAGGACCAATTTTAGAGATCCTACTCTGGTTCCGCCCGTACTAGTAGTAGTAGAATCCTAAAGGACGTTTTGGCTCTTCGTTGAGCTCATTTAGTTAATACACATAGACACTCAGTGTCTTTCCACTCGGAAACAATTCTCCTCATACTTCAGTAAGAATCATTATCATTAGTATCAGAGATACTCAAACTCGTGACTGTCCTCCAAGTAGTTATGATGAGGAAGCGTCTACATCACGACGGCTGGGGTAGATATTCCCACCAGCCGTACGCGACGCAGAAAATGCTAGTGTCAGGATAAGGACATCGTGGAGGCGAATAGAGACATACCGTAGAAGTCTCCGGTAAACGAAAGCAATACGACGGGAAAAGAAGAAGACTGTATAACCATAAACGGGACAAGTCATGGCAGTAAGTATAGAACTAGAAAACGAATGGGAACAGGGTTGACTTGACATAGAACGTACATGTAACAATAAATCGTAATGTTGTCCGACGGTAACACACAGTAGCCATAAATACAAGAGATGCATGCAGCCGTCAAATCAAGAGTCAATGTACAGAGTGAAGACGCATGCAATATCTAACACCCAACAACACAAGGAGAACTATTTACCAGATGCTTGGAGTCCAGGGTGCGAAGGAACTTGAAAAAATATTGTACGTTGAAGAATTTTGGATAATACATGCACTCGTTGTTCTAATAGGTTCTCAACGGCTTTCTTGCTCTCTTTGCAGGTGAATGCATCTTCAGTGACTTTGAGTCACTGGGCGCAGCATCAGTCTGGATTCCTGCTGGCACAACTATCATACATCCCTGCAGACTGCAAAGCCAGTCCCAGCAGTAAACTACCATGCTGGTATCAGATGGTGCAGGCTATAAAGAAGAGGAGCTGTGGTCAGGTACATATCAAGATTACTTTCCAAGTTTCCATAAACCGGAACGTGTATCTCTGCAGATAAGTTTGAGAAAGTACAATTTATCAGCCGTTATGTTATTGTGTGTTGAATCAAGGCACAGTGAAACTCTAGCCGTGAATCTAGTCATGCAAGCCCAGGCTGAAGCTGCGGACCATGGCTTTCTGGACTCACCGAAAATGTCGTAAATGATGAATTCCGCAATGATGCGTCTCCTTCTCTTAGGACGTGTTCGATTGGTAGGATCCGGATCTAGATCAACCGTATCACGGGCCACTGGATTCACACCCTTTTGATTGGTCGAATCCGGATTCGGATCCAACGGATTTGGATCCGGCCAACCCACCTCGGGGCCTGAGCAGGGTGCCCGTGTCCAACGGATTCTTCTTTGCCAATCAACCTTTTTGGCACGAAAACTCCACATTCGTTCGATTGGACCTGGAAGAATCTGATGATACAAGCAATCGATCGGGATCTGGATCCAACCAATCGAACATATCCTTATGCAGTATTGCACACTCTGGTTTATGCACGTTTGATGGATGTGGTGTTTGAAGTTAGTTGGGAGGTGTGGGAAGCCGGGCGGGGGAGTCACTTAGATTAGAGAAGTTCATTCACTCCTGTCTCCTGTGAGCTCATATTACTTTGCACTATTTGCTCAACAGGTTTAGTGACTACTTGGAAAGTTTGCGCGAGAGGTTGGTCTTTTCTTCCAAACAAATATGGTCAATTCACATTGGCCTGGTAAGCAAGGTTGACTCTCCGTATGATGAGTTCCATACTCGCCATAATCACCAGTGCTTGGTACACTACGAGAGTGAGAGCTAGAGACGTACGAGGTAGAGAGCAAGGGTACTTGTTCGTTACTAGTCTCGTGCCAGTGTGCCACGGCGAGAGCCAGTGTGCCACGGCGAGAGCCAGTGTGGCACGGCGAGAGCCAGTGTGCCACGGCGAGAGTACAGAACAATGCCTATAATCCTGTGCATTGCTCGTTTGCTTTAAGTAACTTATAACTGGCAGTTTCTAATGGGGCTATATATACTGCTGTTTCTAATGGGGCTATATGTACTGCTATATGTACGGCTATATGTACTGCTGTTTTTGCAGGAAGACCTCGTAACACTGGCCAAGTGGGTTGCAGAGTGGTTGCCAGATACATTCGCCGCCATTGGCATGCTTGATGAGATGGAACTATCCATGAAGATGTGGGGAAAAGCTTCTGCACTGCCGTTTGAAAACCTGTGTACCGGCCAGGAAAGGTGAGGTAATTGAGGTTTTCACATCGGTAGATATTGACTATTAGTCTTGACCTCTTGACCTGAAGTTTAGAAGCTCAACATTTGCTGGATATAGCAGCTGGTACTCTTTTGTACTGTTCTGGCTTATAGGGAAAAAAGAAGACATTTTACATGTAACTGAATGACATGACATTACTACAGTGTAGTGGATGGTAGTGCTCAGTGAGATGTCCGTATTTACCGTATTTCCCTCCATACTCCTGATGTGAATACTGGTGTTGAAGTACCATAATCAAACAATTGTGAATGATCAGATGTGCTCGGTTTTCTGCTATCTCTCAACGGTCATCAAGACCAGCAGCTGAATCATAATCGGATTAGGTACTAAACATGATGTCATCCATCTGATTAGGTACTAAACATGATGTCATCCATCTGATTTCTCTGCACATGTCCAGTATCTCCCTGAATGAAAACACTGTTACAGCAGCAGAAGATACAAAGTCCAAGCTCATCCAGCTCGCTACATCTGATCCCAGTATACAGAGAGCATTGAAACTCGATACCATTCTCTACGAGAGAGCAAGGGAGATCTTCAACAAGCAGGTGTGTACTAGTAACAGTTAGGTAGCCAATAATTATTAGTAAAGTAAGTAAGTAAATGATCGTATCCGTTCCCGAAGATAACTCACGACGGCCGCTAACACCCAGTAAACCCTAACGTCAGATGCAGCGCCTAACAGTGGGGGTGAGTGGATAAGTCTCACCACCACTGGCACAAGTGCCGAGAAACCACACTAGCCTCATCCATGTACCCCTTGTGCCTGACCACAAGTTCCTCCGACTATGGGTAGCAGCACGGCTGGAAAAACTGCTCCCAGGCAAGACTTGAACCAGGTACCTCTCGTATCTCGATCATGGTCTTTGACCAACCCACTGTGCCTGCCTAGTCCAATTTGTACTAAAAGTATAATTGATGAAAACGAAGAAAACAGTGGGGCGCAAGTTATGCGTTAGAGTCCCCCAACTGACCCGATCTTGAACATTGAGATGCGCACTATTTAGCACAAACCTGACAAGGAGTACTGAGACATTCCATGGCATGACAGTGAGCTTTAGCACTTCTTGATAGCGCTAACCAACCGTAACTGCTATCGGTAATATTTTCACTGAGAGAGTCACACTTTTCACAAAGATCAGGTGAAAAATGCCCCTACAGTTTTGTGATTAATAAAGCACCCCCTACATTCGTTTTCACACAAACAAATGTAAACTGGAATGTTGCGTTTGCCTCCAAGAGAAGGGAGGCTTCTACCCCCGGTCCAGCTCTGACTCCCAAAAAATACCTTATCTAGTGGGGTGACGGCCCTTTGAAGAGCATGTGAGTTTTAGAGGCAGGCATGTAACTTATAATGGCTTCAAAGTCAAATTATTATTATTTCAGCAGCTTGGTGACTGATGCTGTTCCCATTTGTGCTTGTGATTGTTATGCATGCACGTGTTTTATGAGCAGGCTACTATTATGAAGGAAAAGTTCATGCCCATCAACAATGGCTGATTCTGCATATTGGAAGATGTTACTTCAAGTACATGTACGTCATTGTTTATCTACACCATGATGTGCAAGACTGCGTACTGGTCTGCGTTCCAGTGCATGATGTGCAAGACTGCGTACTGGTCTGCGTTCCAGTGCATGATGCATGGTGTGGCATGCAGCCATCCTTCAGCACTGTTATAGGGATAGCTGCAGAGAGATGAGTGCAACCCTGAGTGCCACCCTGAGTGCAACCCTGAGTGCAACCCTGAGTGCCACCCTGAGTGCATAATCAGTGTGCTGCTGCTGCTGGTGAATGAAGCCGACAGTGACAAGGTTGCCTCTTGATACTGTACCACCATGCCGGTGAGGAAGTCGAGTCGGGCTGAGCCCAAGCACGCCTGCTGCAGTGGAGTGATGAAGGATTGAGACACAAGAGTAAAGCTTTTGACAGCGAGCATATTCACACGTATGGACTATTTATAGCAGGCAACTTAGCCAGATTGGCTGAGCCTTCTGTGAACTGATTCTGCTGAAACGGATACAGCCGTCTACTCCACATTCTCACTATATTCACTGTGTTTCTGTGGTAGGACCTATAGTCGACCTACCCCCCCCCCCCCCCCCCAACGATGACCCATCAAATATTAAACACTGCCCTTGATTGTCATAAGTGTATTTAGGAGGCTCCTGGCTGGGTAAGAGCGTGACAGTGCTTCAGGCCAAAACTCGTGAACTTTTTCGTATTAATTCCAAGTTTTCGAAGTGATATTATTTTCATATTTTTATCGTCTTAGTCCTGTTGCCGTAACTGTTCCCTTTCTACAGTCTTCCTGTGGTCTTTTTATTTTGCTTGTAGTTGTAGAGGATGCCCGAGAGGAAAATTTTCTAAGACATTTGTTTATTATTTCAATCTGAAGATGATGACCTCCAAGTGCTTTGGAAACCATGGATGACATGGCTAATGAGTGTTGATAGCCATGGGGATCAAGTGAACCACCTGATGGATTAGCCCAGAACCAAAAAAAAAAAGTGAATCTAGTCTGACATCAATACCACATGGGCATAAGCGCATGTGAATCAGAGTCACATGACCCTTGTTGTGTGACAATGCCTCTTATAGCTTAGTCTTACCCTTGTGACAGCTCCAAGAGACCTGCTAGGATTGTCATGGTGTGGCCATTTTCACATTCCTGCCACATTGGTTCAAAATATTATAAGTAGTTGGTTGTCACTTCTTCTTTGCCTGAGAAGATGAAGACAAGATACAAAGGCACGCTACCTTCAAAGGCACGCTACCTTCAAAGGCACGCTACCTTCAAAGGCACCATTCTACTGTAGAAACTTGTACTGTTGTAGTATGTACCTAGGCTAGGCTAGGCTAGGCTAGTAGGCTGCCTGTGTCCTATTTGTAGAGCTACACAAACACACACACACACACACCACCACCACCACCACCACCACACAAAGTGACATACACACACATGTCTTACTAAAATTTAATACTATTAGTATTACTACTAGTAACACACAGGGTAGTACTACTATGTGGACTTTGGTGCAGACTGGATACACACACATGTACCTACTTGAATCATGACTAGTATTGACCAATTTCGGGGGGTTCTATACAATGTATAACATGTCATGATAACCTTTAAAACGGAGGATTCCTGGAATTGCGATTGCTCCCTGCATGCAACCTCTTCTTCTCAATGATTATGTAGTGCTATCTAAAGCTAGCCTACACAGCCACCAATGCACCATGTCCAGGGTCAATGGGGTATTATTATTACGCTGATGTCGTAAATGACTCGAGTGTTGGGGACCAGCCAAACTACTGACTGGAGTGTAGGGGCGCGTTGGTAATGCCTACAAAGTGATGGTAGAATATATTGTAGAATGCATGCAGTCGTTCACGGTTCACGGTGGCTGAGGCTGAACAGCCGCTTCGTACCGTAGATACAGATCGTGTTCACTATGCCTATGGCATGGCCATGTAAAATTTAATTATGGGCATGGTTCTACAAGTAGGCTGTAGCTTTACCCCGACTTGTACTTTTGTAGAACCTTTAGTTTTAGACAAAAAATCTCCCTACTAATAAAGTAATAATATAACACCATGAACACTACATGATCCACTCCATGTCCAGTGGCAGTGGCAGTTCAGGCAACGCAGCGGTGCAGTGAGTGCTGCTGCATGTAGTCTGCCGTCCACATGCACTACACAGTACACCACGTACTAGTAGCCTACGACTAGTACATGGTCTACAGTCAGTTGTGCAGTGCAGTCAGTACTACAGTAGATCTACTCATGACTTTTGTACAGACTTCAGCGCCAACAGGAACATTTTTTTGTTTTACCAAGTGAGTTAGGCAGTTTGGCTGTCGTGAGTGTCGACTGTGTAGTACTTGGCCATTTCCCGAAGCAATAACACTTACCTGTCCTTGGCGTGACTCGGTTATTGCGAGATTGCATAGCTGCTGCTTACAGTTTGCACATCATTTTCGTCTGTGAGTTTTAACGCTAACCCGATAGTCATGCAGGCCATCAAGTGCGTTGTAGTGGGCGATGGGTGAGTGGTGCCGTTTCATTTCCCTCAACTACTAACTTTGGCTTGGTCGAAGAGCTCCAGAAATCTAGCGGGCATGAATTAAGTCGAGAAATGCGACTTGTCTCTGTTGCCCTGGCCTAGACTAGGCTAGAGTCTGATGTTCTTTCTACTACTGCATCACACTGCTGCTGTGTGTTCAGCAAAAGCTTGGTTGCTTCGCTGGCTCAAGATTGTTGGCCTATCATGTTCATTTTGCTGTGTGTTTTGCGTTGACATGTATTCTGTAGCGCCGTCGGTAAAACTTGCCTGTTGATCAGCTACACGACAAATGCCTTCCCGGGAGAGTATATTCCTACTGTGTAAGTAACGAGTCGCCGGCAAGATGAATACAATACTGCTGCTTCTGCTGTTTTGCTGCTGTGGATAGACTCGGAGCACTGTGCTGAGCATACCGGTAATATTATAGCAACCTGCGCAACTTTCCAGCTGTCTATCTCTTTTCATGAGTCGTGCGCGCGCGCGTGCGTGTGTGTGTGCGTATGTGTGTTCGCGCGTGTGTGTGTATGTGATTTTTCGACGCACTCACGAATACAGCTCATTACATCTACATCTACATGCAGCAGATTTACCTCAGTTCAGGGATTGCTATCGTGTAGAGTATCCCTGTTCAAAGCACAGTACAATCATGTTACGTCGTTATGTTGCCTGTCCTTTGGATTATAATTATTATGCATTCACCACTATTGTGTTTTGGTATGTACAGATTTGATAACTATTCTGCGAACGTGATGGTGGACGCTAAACCCATCAACCTGGGCCTCTGGGATACAGCAGGTGAGAAACTTATATTATAAGTGTGTAGTACACTGGCGTAAATTCAATACCATTCAAACTGACCGATACCAATGCTGAATACCGGCATTCGATCTGAAAATGGTCGCGTTGTGTTAGATGCGCACTCTTGCACACCTGCTGTGACTATAAGGGGATGTGGCAGATCTGCAGACCAGCAGTATCAACTTGTTTTGTGTTTGAACCATAATTTCTCCACTGCTTAGCTCAGTTTTGCCATGCTTGACACACTATTATTAGCACTAGTGTGGCAAGGCATCACTGTGCGGGCCAGTTCAACAAGTCACTAGTACTTCCTGGTGTTCGTGTTACATCTGCTGCTGCTGTCATGCAGTAAGAGGTCATCTACAATCATGCAATGGTGTTCATAACAAGCGATGTCTTCATTGGCTGGCATTTACTCACCCTTGTAAACGTTACGAAAGAAGACTATCTGTTTCCAAGAGGTATACAGTCAACTGCCTTGCGAACAGGTTGACTCAGTACGGTAGAACTTTAAAAATCACAATTATAAAACCTCCAATAAAATGTTGTGTGGCCTAAGAAAGCACTCCACTATAATTATCCTCCTCTATACATTATTACATTTGTAAATAACTGTCTCTGGAAATTGGTCACATGCACAGTGGAACACAATGTTACTCAAGTTGGCTTTATTACGATATGATTATAACTAATGATGACAACATGGGCAGTGAGTTGGAAAAACACTCTTTAGAACTGCACAGGTGATTGGTGGCAGGAGACAAGTATTGCAAAGTAAAACTAGGGATATAGGGCAAGGAGTGTTGGTTTCCACTCACTGTTCTCCGAATTTGGCTTCTCCTTCAGCCGAAGAGTGAGACGGATCTACACATTCTTCAGGGTTTGAAAAGGAAGTGCATTGATTGTGACACCTAGATCGATTTCTGGGGTGTGGTAGATAGTCAGTGCAAGTTGGAGTAGGAAGTGCACAGTGAATGCCACAACTGTACAGTTCTACTTTACAATAATCCTTTTCTCTTTCTCTCGGACTTTCTCTCTCCGTCTTTCTCTCCCCTCTCTCTCTCCCTCCCTCTCTCCGTAACCCTCGCAGTATGCACTAATCGTAGAATCTACTAAGTACAGCGAGACCGTTCGTGAAGAATAACACTGATAAGACAAGCTTCTACTTTGGAAGAACTAGTATTTGTGACTTTGTTGGGTGAGTCACTGCATAATTGCTGTGTGTGGAGGACAGATAAGGAGAAAACTTTCTTTACTGGGAGCCAATTCAAGTGGCTCCTTTGTGTGCATCCTCAAGAGGTTTGGCTGTACATCGTCCTCCTGCTTGATGTGCCTGCCATACTAAGCACTGGCCATTGTCTCGGTTCCCTTGTGCCCATAGGCTGCCTGGCATACTAGTTGCTCATAAAATAAAGAGTCGTAAATGATACTTTAGTTACTGTTTAAATGACTGTTCAAATCACCTGAGGGCCGTGATCATTTGGTCATATGGTATATGCAAACGTGATAGAGCAGTAAGTCACTGTACACACCAACAGCTAGCGCTGCACCCATGACCAGTCACCTGGTCACTGTGCCTGCAGGCTACAACTTACAGCCTGTTCGGGCGAGTTCCTGCCACTCGAGTTAAACCTTTGAACCTTTGAGTTGAACCTTGGCGTGAAAGTTGTGTAGCCTGCAGGCACAGTGACAGGTGCACGCACAAGCACGTGGCCGCTTACTCAATCGTGTTCGATTGGGAATAAAGGCTGGACGCTGCATCGCAGCCGTCTCGGACCGAAACCAGTCGACTCAGCGTCCAAAAGACTGTAACATATGGCCAATCGCGTTCATCCGTGCTATTATAAGAATGATATGGCGCTTTTAGTGACATTTTGAATACAAATCTTCATCTAGGAGGGCGCAGTCACCCAGTTCAACGAGTCGGTGGAAGTGGTGACTCTGAGTTCGATTGGGAATAAAGGAGGAAGGGAGCGTCTCAGCTTCCTCGGACCAAGACCATTCAAATCAGCATCTCAAAGACTACATCTGGTTGAAAATTTGATTTTAGGGTATACTTCCTCTTTAAGACTTTAATTGATGTGGAAATTGTCTGTATGTATTACTGCTATAGGTCAAGAGGATTATGATCGTCTTCGCCCCCTCTCTTATCCCCAGACAGTAAGTGACTTGTGAATATTCATGTCACAATGCCTAAATTAATTAGTGCTTCTTTATATGATCAAGACATTGGCAATTCTTTGCATTGACAACCTAGGTTGCGCATTGGACAATTGATTGCGAGAGCAACCTACAAATTGTTTCCATGGAAACTGCACTCTCCAACGGTTCCAGGGAGGTCAACAATGCGTATACCGTATTTTCCGGTTGTAAGTCGACCTTTTACGACTAAAAATAGGAGAAAGGGTGGGGGTCGACTTACAAGTTACAACCGGGATTCGACTTACAACTGGGAACTATCAGTATCTTACAAAAAATGACCTGCACTGCATGCACGAGTGCACCATGTGTACACCTTTTTGACAGTTTATTGGTCTTTTTCAAGGATTGGGACGTTATATCCTCGATTAAGGAATGTTTATATGATTTGTTGATGTGTTAGTGGAGTGGTCAGTAGTGCTGCTTTAAAACTCGGATGTTGAGCCAATAATAAATGTAGAAAGGAAGAGGACATATGGATACGAGGTAAGAGTAACTCTCCATCACTGTAACCAGATACTGTATACAGTCAGAAAGTGCAACAACTAGGCACAAAGCTGACAAAGTACTGAGACATTCGACGTCCTGACACCTAGCTTCAACACATCTCCGTAGCGCTAACCGACAGCCTTCCAACTCGGAAGGTTCAAGGTTATGGAAAGACCAAAGAGGGGAAGGTAAGCGCAACGAAAACCTAGTTGTTGCACTTTCTGACTGTATATAGTATCTGGTTACAGTGATGGAGAGTTACTCTTAACTCGTATCCATATAATAATAATAAATAATAATAGGGGTGAAACGAAGGTCTCAAATTCCCATTCGAACCTTCTTTATTAAAGCGAACGAAGGTGTCGAAGGATTCTTTTTAAGATGATCACGGAAACGCTCAAAAATCTTGAAAATAAAAGGGTGCAAAAATCAGAACCCAATACTTACATTGTATGTGCAATTTGTTTCTGAATCTGCTGGTATCAATGTATCCATTCCAGGTCAGAAAATACTTTGGCCCAGCTCACAACTATAGATAGAGGCAAGGTTTTAACATACTCTTGATAGAGGCCATACCTAATACCTGTTTGTGAGTCAATTGTCCATATTTCTGACAATTTAGATCAGTGTACTTGGGATCGTGCACAGACTTGCTAGCCTTGGCCTTTTTGACACAAAGCGACAAGAGATCACTGCTCTAGTATACAGCCAGTTGCATTTATTTTTATTTATTTTTTTATCACATTGCACATACCTGCATGCTTGAACAATACCAAAATGGACGGAAAAGAGCCATATTGCGTAGTAAATATCAGATACCCAACTTCATCACAAATTGTCAAATCTGGCATGTACTTTTCGCTTACTAGTATCTGCTCGCATCGAGCGGGTGCATTGGTGATTGAGAGTAGAGTGAATAGTCACTAGGTGAGGAACTTCACCTGCCTCGAGGATTTCAGGCCATCGCTGCCCTCCCTCTCGCTGCTGCTGGGAGAGTGAATACTGCAATGGCTTCAGCGATGCAAACTTTTATTTTCGATTCAAATTATGAGACTACACTCGTATCGCTGCTACAACGTTCTCCAGACACCATCACTAGGAGATATCAACGGCAGCTACAGCAAGCTATATTCCTGGTACAAGCAGCATAACTGAGCGAAAACACGATCGAAATCGCAAAACTACACTCCTACTAGTATCGCAGAGCGCCAAACACTCGACGAATACAATCAAAAAATTCATCCATGAGTACACCATGGTAGATCTACACACCAACGCAAAACGGGAACACGCTGGTGACTGGAACAGGGCCAGTTCTTCACTGACTTGTCACTTCTTCAGTTCCGGTGCGCACGCGGACCGTGCCCCTACTTGTACTAGTTGTAGTACAGCGTACAGTGCTAGTGCATGCAGTACGAGTACATCGCACAAGATCAGTGCATTGATGCATGCGGTAAACCCGTGTCGACCTTCGTTCGAATCAAAAACGAAGGTTCGTTTCAAAGGAAAACGAAGGTCCTTCGAACCTTCGACTACTTCGTTTCACCCCTAAATAATAATAATAATTCGCGGGATTCGCGTTGGCATCGCTTGAATGTTCAGAAACACACAAACTAGCCTTCGCTTCCGCAGGCCACCACTATGCCTATGCCTTGCACACCTTAGTGGCGAATGCAGACCTCACAAGTGAGTCAGGGGAGAGTAGGTGAGTCTCTCAACCAATCGGGCGTGTAACGGCCCATAACCCTGTAAACTGCATCCTTGTTACCCTCACGTATCCATATGAAAACTTTAAAACGCAGAATTGAGACCTCCGGATACGGGGGTCGAGTTACAACCGGTAAAATACAGTAGCCCTATAGCTATCATGTTCTGGTGTGTAGCAGCCGTCTGTGAAGACAGGACGCAATGTATAGAGAGCTTTCATGTGGAAAGCTATGTGGTGTAGGCCACCTCTAGCGATAGGCGTCTTGAAAGTGTGTGGTGCATGCGGGTGTGCGAGTCGTATTATATTATCCTGTCCTTTGCACTCGCCGATGTGGCTTTGCTACATTGTACACGGATGCATGCACTGACTCAGTCCCGTGGCACTGGTGTGTAATCTGCATGCCTATTCTGTGCTGCACATCTGGCTGACTGCCCTCTGTACAGGATGTTTTCCTGGTCTGCTTCTCGCTGATCAGTCCTGCTTCATATGAGAACGTGCGTGCCAAGGTTAGTTTCTCGTGCAGAGTCTGCCATCACTCTGTTGTCGGCAAGGCTGTAGCATGGCCCTGATGATTTGTTCTTTTCACTAGTTCTGATAGTTGTTCATCCTGGCTGTGATATGTATTGAAACTGACTGAAGGCAGCCCAAGGCAAAGACTGAGCACTATCTATTGGTGTAGTATTATAGAGCGGCTTCACACAACATGATTTGCCATATGACTCAGTGACTAAATTTGTGTAGAAAGTGATCATGGCATGTGGACAGTGGAACCAACATGGTCGACATCACGCGACCCGTAGATGCAGGGGTTGAGTGGAGTTGGAACTAACATGGCTGCCCTGTATGGTCATGTGATAGATGTGAAACCACTCTACACTCTATGGGGGTATTGCAGTGTATTGCTTGTGCCTGCGGGTGTGTGCTATTTCAGTAAACTTAACTACCCAGTGTGCTGTCAACCAGCAGACAGACATGGCCACTGACTTCCTTTACCAGACAAGAGCACAGCCTGCAAATGTAGCTCCTGGCTTTTATTTGTCTCTTCGATTACATGACAGTGACTGTTTATCCCTGTGTGGATATGATTGAGCAGATGGCACATGATGCTATTTTATTATGTGTGTGTGCATGTGTCATGAACGCACTCAGTGTGTGCGTGCTCCAGTGTGTAGTCACTCACGGTGTGCAGGCTTTGTGGCACTTCGAGGTTAGGTGCATTGAAGCATGCAGTCCCAGGCTTGAAGAACCCTGGGTTTCAACTTAAATTGGTCATGAATTTTGTTTACACACACACACACACACACGCACGCGCGCGCGCACACACATGCACACACACACACTCACAGTAAATGCATTTAGACATGTACTGTTTGTTACTGGCTAAAAAAAGGACACATCCACTACCCTTACATCTGAAACTCCCCTGGACGAGGACACCGCTGTGGTTCTTACGCAACTTGCTGTGTGGCCGTCAATGATTACTATTCACGACCTTCTGCTTAAAGTGTTCTTGTTGCGGTTGCTGCTGCTGCTGCTGTTGTTGTTGTTGTTGTTGTTGTTGTTGTTGTTGCCGCTGCTGTTGTGTTGCCCACCTATAGTGGTTTCCTGAAGTTTCGCACCATTGCCCAAACACACCTATTATCCTTGTTGGGACCAAGTTAGATTTGCGAGATGACGACGAGACCATTGAGAAGCTGAAGGAAAAAAAGCTATCACCTATTACCTATCCACAGGGCTTGCAAATGGCCAAGGAGATCAGTGCGTGTAAGTACCTGGAGTGTTCCGCCTTGACTCAAAAGGGCCTGAAACAAGTGTTCGATGAAGCAATCCGGGCTGTCCTTAACCCACCCAAGGCGCAAAAGAAATCAAAGGGTGGATGTGTGCTCCTATAAAAAGTAGTCTTTGCAGAAGGTAATATTTTGTTGATAGTTCCTTGATAAAAGTACAGACCTGCAATGAGTTTGTTCACACCATTCGAATCATTCCACCAGTTCAGATCAGCCCTGGTGTTGACAATTTCCCAGTGTAATCCCCTGTCTTATCTGTTTTTAATTTTCACATCTATTTGTTTTGCGAGCTCCTCGCCCTCCTTCTTTCAGCCTATGCGTGTGAATTGCTTGGTAATAACATCAGTAATTTCCTACTGCTGAATGATAATACTGCTGTCTTTGAACATCTTTAATGAATGCAGGATGCATGCCGCCATGCTTATGCACATTGTATGTTTGGTGCCGAGTTCATAGAACTGCGCATGCTCTGCGTCAGGCTAGTTGGTCTTGGCATCATGTCAGCTACTTCCAGCATGTTCGCGTGCGACATTATACTACAAGGGCCTTTCGCAGTTTATTGCTTTGCACTGTGCACCGGTTTTCTGTTTCATTCTCTTCAACCAGTCTGTGATACTGGCATGTGCACAGTTTATCATCTCGCACAGCTTACCGCTAAGAACTTCTTGCGGTTTCTGCTTGCGACGCCGCAGCAGCTGTGCAGAAACATGAATGTGAGTCAAGCTAGATCAGTTCTCCCGCTGTCACCTCGTGCTAACCATTGCTTTACCATTGCTGTCATAGCTGCTGCCATCGTGGCACTCTTTTCTTTTTGTTTGTTTAGCATAGTGTCGATCGCTGACTTGTTTTTGGCCATCTCACAGTAAGTTATTATGCTGTGTTGAGCACATAACACTGTCGTCATCTTTCTGATCACCATGATCATCATCAGCCTTCTGTGGATATTGTAGGTTGCAAATTGTCATCATATGTTCCCATTCTCAGAGTTTTAAAAATTGTCCTGAAAGCAATCAGGAGTATATTTGCAATTACCGGTAACTTTCTCTTTTGGTATGCGGATGGAACTCGAAGTCTGAACTTCAATCTGGGTGTTCGGCCAAGGAGGCCACAATGTAATCCTTGTTTGTAAACTACTGCCGCATCCTGCTGAATGCTGGGTAAACTATGTTGGCTCCCCCTGGCTGTGTATCTGTATTTCCGCCAAAGCAAATGAGTAGAGAAATGAGATGTGTATATTGTTAGAGCACCAGCGCAGAGCTGGGATACAGGTGAAAGAGGAGAACTAAGAGGTATTAGAGGATAACAAAGAGGCTAGTAGTATAAGTATGATACACAGAGATGGAGTAGGTGGGCAGGTGTGAAACGACAACAGTCTTCACCCATGGCACGAACAATGCAATTACGACTGAAAAATGAATTTTTTACATGAATATTTTGATTATTTCGAAGTAGGCATCTCAAAGATAAGTCTATAGCCGTATGGTACTTGTAAGTCAAATGTTAGAGAAAAGGAATGTGTTTCATGTCTTGTACATGGCCAGAATATAAAACCTTGCCGCAACAAAGACCAAAGCATTGATATTACGTACAATAATATTAATTTTGTGCAGTACATTAGGGGCCGTCCGTAAATATCGATGTTTTTTTCAAGACGATATTTGTTCATTTCTCCCCAGACCCCCTCCCTCCCCCCCCCCCCCTCAAAACGAACATACACATGTTTATGCAAGGGATCGATATTTTTTAATGAAGTTCAATTTCCTCATGGAACGTGACCAGCTGCCACTCTAATTTCACCATACACCTAGGTTTATGTTGCCACGGTCGCACAACCTTGCTATGGCTATGCTCACGAGGTTGACTTTCACTTTGTGTAGGTCATAAACTACATGTTCGAACAGCGCTCGTCCATAGATAGAGTTCGATATTTTTTTCTGCAAAGACGAGAAGAACAGGGCCCAACCCCCCCCCCCCCCAAACGAACGAATATCTTCTCTAAAAAAACATCGATATTTGTGGACGACCCCTTATAGGTTTCCTAAAAGGAAGTACTACCGGTACTAGTAAGCAAGGCATAGATATAACGGGTTAAAGAACACGGAGCATAACTACTAGTACAGTGCTGCTCAATGAAAGGGGGGGGGGGGGGGGTGGCGGAGGGTCATAACTAAACTTTTTCGTTTCGTGAAAATTATCGATAGTGCCGGATGACCCCTGAAGTATAAAGAGAGTAAAGCATAGATATAAAGGAATTTTCCAAAAAAAAGAAAAAAGAAGCTTCCACAGACCTAGAAATTACAAAAAAATTAACGAGAGAGCTTGAAAGCTCAGGGCCATACGCTATGCTTTTTTGCCTAGCTCATCATGAATGTTATTCAAACTGATGGAAACGTTTTTTTCAATACAATGATGTAGCCGATCAGTTCTAATAATAATTATAGTAACGTCTTTTGCATAGCTACGGGAACGAGAGAGCTTGGAAGCTCAGGGCCCTACGCTCATGATGCTTTTTTTGCCTTGATGATCTAGACAAAAAAAGCATAGGGATGTTATAAATTCTTATAAATTCTCCTTTTTTTTTAAAGACATAACCTGGGATTCGAACCCGCACTATCGCCCTGCGCAGCTGCATGCATCCCCCGATACACTTCGCATACATACTAATTCTTCCAAGTTGCTTCACGTTATGATCTTGCATTTGAAAGCCCTATTAGAATATGCATTGTGGCCAGCCGTCTTCGATGGTACGGTACGGTACGGGACAGGTACGGAACAGGTACGGTCGAGGGTAATACGACACCGTCTACCGCCTTGATGACATAGGCACAAAAAGCATAGGGATGTTATAAATTTTTCAATTCTCCTATTTTTTCAGGCATAACCTGGGATTCGAACCCGCACTATCGCCCCACATGCATGCATTCCCCCATACACTTCGCATTCATACTCATTCTTCCAAGTTGCTTCACGTTATGATCTTGCATTTGAAAGCCCTATTTGAATATTGCGGCCAGCTGTATGTGGCCAGCTGTGTTTGATGGTACGGTACGGGACAGATACGGGATAGCGCCAGGCGTGACACAAACAAACAAACAAATACCAACTTAAAGCTGTGTGGACCCTGGCTAGCGCCAGACGTTACTGAAGTAACGTCTTCTGCATAGCTACGGGAATTAAAGCTGTGTGAACCCTGGCTAGCGCCAGACGTTACTGAAGTAACGTCTTTTGCATAGCTACGGGAATAAAAAGAGTTATCCTCCAATGCATGCTATGTGCTTGATTGTTCACCTCTAGAAATGCTACTGGTGTTGATGCCAATACACCAAAGTAGTGCATGAGAACAAGAAACAGACACAGAATGCGGAGTGGGTGTAGCGAGACGATTAGATGTACTGATAAGACCACCGAACTCCATCCTGTCACCCTCTGGTCGATACGGGAAGTAGAAAACACAGCAAAAGAGGGAGCAGGTAAGCAGATGTGTGTGTGTGTGTGTGTGTGTGTGTGTGTGTGTGTACGTGTGTGTGTGTATACGTGCGTGTGTGTGTGTGTGTGTGTGTGTGTGAGAGAGAGAGAGAGAGAGAGAGAGAGAGAGAGAGAAAGAGAGAGAGAGAATACGAAATGAGGCATTAGCTGGCTTGGTCACTTACCTAGATCCCAATGTAGACCACTAGTGGTTACTGACTCACACGTTGAGCCAACTGGTACAAGCCCACACCAATCACCTTCAAGTCCACTGCAAACATCAATAATGTGCTGGCCCTGTGTGTGCACAGCAATGGCATTGACAATGACGGCAAGGAAACCCACAGCATCACCTCCAGTAGCAGTAGCAGCAGCAGTAGTAGCAGTGGCAGCAAACCACACTCCGTTGACACTGTCACGATGATCAAGGTCTGCCAAACCCGCTAAGTTTACACTATAGGCTTGACCATGCCACTCGGAAAACATTTCACAATTACAAATGCAGAACCTCTCCATGATGTAACCTGTGCTATGCCACTTCAGTAGACTGTGATGGTAGTGTATACATAAGTAGTGCAGAGCGTAAAACAAACACACAATGATGAATCACTGTACTTCTGACCTATTATAGGACTACTTCATATAATTGCCAATCAACAAACTGCACATAAATATGCAAGCATCTACGAGCGTATGCGTGCATTTTTAACTTAGTGAGATTTCCACGATCTTCTTGCAGAGTAGCTCCAAACACCGGTGCAATGCTTGATTAGAAAGAGCGAGCAGAGAGTGTCAGTAACTGCATGGCCTGACCTTCTAACTATTAAAAGGTACTCGCCAGTGAAGTTTCAACTCATGAACAGAGTAGCGGCCTGCTAGCCAGTGCACAGAATCGTAGTGTCTGTGGTACTTGGGACATACTAGTAGTGCGCCCGGCGCTGCTAGTTTTATTTATATGGTTAATTAAGTTTCACTTGCAAGTACTTCAAGAGGGAAGAGATTCAAATAACCATGGGTGCTAGTCAGAGCAACGAAAAGAACACGCCATCTCAGGTCTGCACAAGGTCACCGACTAGTGGTCACCTAAACTAGAGGTGGCAACCCAGCTCTACTGTGTGTCAATAAAATGGAAAACATCAATGAACAACAGACAGGGAGCAGAACTCACACTACGTAAGAGCCATGTCAGATTGATGTCATCGAGTAGATAAATCGGCAGAGGAACCGTAGCCTGAACACTGTGGAGGACATTAACGTTGGCAAAGTATTGATCAACGCGGCCTCCAAACGCTCCCAACACAAACACTTCGTCAACCTAGCAAGAACGAGAGATAGAATTACGACAACAGTGTTCATGAGATGCCCAAAAGAATGAATTCCATAATTCCAGAAGCGGACAGTGAATCACACTGCAGTGCCGGCCGGGGAAAATCCAAGCACTGGAACGAGTTTGCTTATTGCACCCAGAGTCAAAGCAGACCTTGATGCCCTGCAGCTGTGCAAAGCAGCTCATGTCACACGTCACACGTCACACGTCACATGTCACACGTCACACGTCACACGTCCACCATTCAACTCTAGGCACAGTCACAGTCTTGAGTGAGTGGTTGCAATGCACTGACACTATGCACTATGCACTATGCACTATGCACTGACACTATGCACTATGCACTATGCACTGACACTATGCACTATGCACTATGCACTATGCACTATGCACTATGCACTATGCACTATGCACTATGCACTATGCTATTAGTGGCCCCTTAGAGGCATCCACAAAATACAGGTTTAGTTCAACATGTAGCGAATTCAACCAGGACATTGCAATGCATTGCCGCCTCCCTGAACAAAGACTGTTTACCTAAATGGGCAGAATGTGCCAAGTTCAAAATAGATCTCTTTGCTCACTGCTTTTTCATACTGCCACACATGCATCAACACATGCGCACAAAACAATAAATAAAACTGTACTGAACTTTAAAATACGCCCCCCCCCCCCCCCCCACCCACACACACAACCACGCGCACGCACCCAGACAGACACACGGACACACACACAAATACACAGACATGCACACACACACACACACACACACACACCACACACACACACACACACACACACACACACACACACACACACACACACACACACACACACACACACACACACACACACACTTCAGACTTCAGACCTGCCCATCGCGGAAGCGATGATAGCGAACAGCTATGTTAGACATAGCAACTTGTGCTGGGATTACACCATTCAACAGCTTGCAAGGCTGATGAATTGACCGCCACTAATTTTTAGCACACACACACACACACTCACACCCACACAAGTCATACACATGTACACACACAGACACACATGCAAGCACACACATGTGCACACACACACGCACACGCGCGCATACACACACACACACAAACACAAAACACACATATCCTTCAGCAGCATACCTTAGATTGGGGATGGACAGACATATGTGTCACCAACACTTGCAGTGATTTATGGAAGTCCGTGTAGTTCTGGTCAGGTGTGTGGTGTACTGCAACGCCCTTCAGTGTGACACAAACATATACATACAAACCATTAGAAACAAAGAATACGGGCAAGCATGCATGCATACACACACACACACACACACACACACACACACACACACACACACACACACACACACACACATACACACACACACACACACGTGGTTACCAGATATGGCTAGGCTAAGACCTACACTTATGAATGCATGAAACATGATCACAGTCTACAAAATCACATACCCTGAGGATGGCCTTTTTCCCCAGATGGATAGGCACCAGCAGAGTAGGAGAGACCTGTGCCACCTTACCCTCCTATTAGCTAGAACCCTGGTAATGTATTATGTGAGAAACCCAGCCGGTTGGACGTGACAGAACCCACGATTTCTGCACAAGCCTTGACATCTCTATACATGTACATGGGTACAGTACAATGATCTCATGTGCTGAAGACTAGCCCTCGCATAGTTTATCTTACATTACTTGGTAAGATGTTTTATAATTCTCCTTCGTTCTCCTTGCAAGAAATAGACTTTTAAATTTCCGGCTCACATTGCTGTCTGGAGTTTTCCAGGTGTTCGGTGCACTGGAAACGGAGTGTCACTGTAAGTTGGTAATGCTAGTGATGCCTGGGTTGCTGGGGCATTACACTAGCGGATTGAAGTGCTCCTGTAGCACAAATTTCATTAGCCTACTCAAGATCAACTGATGCGTGGTGAGCAGAGAGTGGTACATTCTGCAGGCTTGCCGGGTGCAAGGTTCGATGGAGTTCTCGTGTGCTCTGGACGGCAGTCGTGAAATAGCCAGGCGTCGGGTTAATTAAATTGACAGGAAATGGGCAAGCTCCCACACAGGGAGCAACACACGCCTGCAAGACCAAGACACGCACATCACACCCTTGGTACAGTTGCGGTAAGACATTGTGAGGTAGCCGTATTACCACAACTGAGCTAGCCTAACTGTTAGACGCTTTACTTGGGTAGAGCGATGGTGGTCCAATAGCTCCTCGTCAGCAGAATCAAAATCCCCGCAGACAATGTCAGGCACATACCTGCAGAATAAACAACAACCACAAACAGCCAGAGATTCTAGAAGCAGACAAAGATGAAACGCATCTGAAATATCCAGGATGTATTTGACGTAATTTAAATGATAAAGAGGAAGGCGAGTAATAATTCTAACTTGTTGATCATGAGCATCCGTATACCGTAATCGAAGTACGCATGGCAAACTCCCTACTCATTTTTCGATTTTGTGTTTATTTCACTTCACCCAATGAAAACCCGGCCACAAATCAGTCGTTCCGGACATGCGGTGCACCCGTACGTTGCACATTGCATGACCATGCAATACTGGAAAATGGGTTCATTGTTTCACTTGCCCCCCCCCCCCCTTTATTTGTTCCTGGCTAGAACCATGCACAGCATATAACACAAGCACTCAATGGGACGGCATTTGCAATGTTATTGAGATTTAGAAGCTGCCTACCGTCCAGACTGTCCGTTCTAATAAAGTGATTAGGTGCTATGAGGTGGGTTCATATCATTATTAAATATTTTATCAGAGTGCACTTACCTACAGAATTATGGGAAGCAAAACAACAAGGTAATAGGACAACAGTGTGTGTGTGCGTGCTACATGAGCTGTGCTGGTCAGGTGCTGTGCCGTGTACCGTGGTGTACTCCACGGCCACATTTTACAGGATCAACGTACACAGCACACACCATGGAGGTCATACTCAGAATAAGAGTCTCCAAAGCATGAAGCCACACGGTTAACTGCTCCATCAACAAGAACCTTGACGTGGGCTATACAGAACACACAACACACACACATAGCACAGATCACAGTAAAATGATGGAAACTGCAAGGTATAAGTTATAGTATCCCCCACCGACGAGTTACCTGCAGAGTATAAACTAGTGCAAACCACCTACTATTTCCGTAAACAAGTCGAAGTCTGGAGAAAATGTTGAGCGGTCGCTGCTAGTATGACGACTACACCATAGCTTAGTGGTAGAGCATCACCAGCCATAAGTGAGGGTCCCTGGTTCGAGTCCTGGTGGTGACAGTCAATTTTTCTTCAGACTTTGCCGTTTTCAACTCCCTTGACCTTATGAATATTTAGTAAAAACTGTAAAATAATAAGAATACGCAGCAGATGGCGTACAATATGCATTGACACAATAAAAGCATAATATTATTGTGCAACATAAACATAATGGTTTCGCTGCTGTTCCTCGGCTAGAGATCGCCCGCACCCGCACGCGTGCTACGTCACGTGAGTAAAGCCTCTCCAAGCTGGGCGTATTTTTCATAGATGGGGCAGAAAAGTTGAAAAATATCTTCAGTCGCGTCAATTATTTCCAGCGACAAACAGGTAGGCAGAGCAGATATCGGTTATCAAATTCCACTGATTATGTAATTGTTCCGTTGTAACGATTGGTTACTCGAATAACCGGCATAATCGTTCCAGCCCAGGTATCTTTCACAGCTTTTACGGGGATTTTTAAAGCCTGCTGGTCTTCTTCTTCTTCTTCTTCTTCTTCTTCTTCTTCTTCTTCTTCTTCTTCTTCTTCTTCTTCTTCTTCTTCTTCTTCTTCTTCTTCTTCTTCTTCTTCTTCTTCTTCTTCTTCTTCTTCTTCTTCTTCTTCTTCTTCTTCTTCGGTATCAAAACAAAGATGCTAGAAATAGAGACAATTCAAAGGACGATAAATATCTGATTGTTGCTCAACCGAAACAGTAGAAAGGTGCCGGAAGTAAAATAAATACTAGAGGCCTGTATGGGAGCTAAGTGTAGTATAGGCCAATAATTACTTATTATTTCTTACATTTGTATTTCGTATTTCCTGCTCCTGTCCACGTGACGTATCTCTGGCCTTGTAAGCCGCGCGCATGTTCACGTGTTTCTGAGCCTTTCTCTCTCTTCTCCTTCATGACAAGTAACATTAGTTTTACTATGGATAGGAACAGTTTGAGGAGTGTCTGGTGAAACCTGGCAATAGTCTGGTATTACTACTTGTATTAGGAAAGGGAATCCAACATTGGTGGCAGCGGTGATAGAAATTTGTTGCTTGTTGCTGTATTTCTTTAGATTGAACCGCAGCCCAGCGGACCGAACTCGCGCGAACACGGGCAGCAGAATCTGGAGTTGGCCAGACAGCGTTTCGCTGGCATTCAGGACATCATCAAAGAACACACGGCAGAATGGCTGAGCCGGTGTGTTACAAAAAGCCACTCAGGACTGCTTCCATTACGCGCTGAAATGTCGCTGGGCCATAAGTATCTCCTGGTCATGGCGGATTACTTTACGCGATGGGTCGAGGCATTCCCTTTGCGCGATATCACTGCTGTTTCGGCCGCTGCAGCTGTGGTTAATGGTTGGATCAGTCGGTTCGGTGCACCTGAACAGCTTCATTCAGATCAAGGGGCTCAATTCGAATCTCGGCTATTCGCGGATATCTGCCGTCTCCTTGGTATCCGGAAGACGCGAACCACGCCGTATCATCCGTCTGGCGATGGTCTGGTGGAGCGCGTCAACCGCACTTTTCTAGGTCTGCTGCATGCCCACATTACTCCAAACAGTACGGAGTGGGATGCAACGTTCTCTCTCGTCTTGCTGTCATATCGTGCTGCAGTGCACAAGTCCACTGGATTCAGTCCAGCGCGCCTTCTGTATGGTGCGGATGTCCGGCTACCAGCTGATATTGTGTTCAATTTACCTTCGCCACCTTCTACTGATATGCATACCTATGTCCGTAGTCTCGACACTTCTCTGCGGAATATTCACGTTGAAGCCCGTCATAATGCTGATCTTGCTCATGCGTCTCAGGAACAGTTCTATAACCGTCGCGTTCATGGTGAGCCTTATGTTGTCAGTCAGCAAGCATATCTTCATGATCCGGTTATCCGTGCTGGCGAGCACTGTAAATTTCATCGTTTCTGGTCTGGCCCACATACTATTGTGCGTGTTAATGGTCCGACGTCATACACGTTATTTCTGAAGGGAGTTGAACGTACTGTTCACTTCAATCGCTTGAAGCCAGTTACTTCCTCGTGCCCAGTTTCCTTACCGTCTTCTGTCCATGATCTCCCCAACCCAGTGAGTTTGTCAGCTAATAACTTTGTTCCTGTTGTGCCACACGATGCCGATGACTCTGTTCCAAGTACGCCTCCGTTGTCGCCGCCTGTTGCCCTATCACCTCTACCTCCTCCTCCAGTTTTAGTGCGTCGATCAGGCCGGATCCGCACTGCTCCTGCGAGATTTGATGACTATGTTTTGTAGTTAGGTCATTGTATATCCGTAATTATTATAAATTTAATTGTTTTTGCCCTGCTTGCCTATTATTCGCGAGGTCGTGAATGATGAGAGGAGGGGAATTGTGTAGTATAGGCCAATGATTACTTATTATTTCTTACATTTGTATTTCGTATTTCCTGCTCCTGTCCACGGGACGTATCTCTGGCCTTGTAAGCCGCGCGCATGCTCACGTGTTTCTGAGCCTTTCTCTCTCTTCTCCTTCATGACAAGTAACATTAGTTTTACTATCGATATGAACAGTTTGAGTGTCTGATGAAACCTGGAAATAGTCTGGTATTACCGTAAAATCCCGCCAGAGCACCCCGTCTCTCCTGTCCGCCCCTCCCTGACTTCTTGTCAGGGATGTATCCTCGTATGACTCTGTCGCAGTCTGTGATGCCGTACTGTACTGCAGACGCGTGCTCGACCCCGTTGGAAATGTACGCAACAGTGCCCACCCTAGGTACCCTCTTGACCAGGGATCGCACAAACCCTGAGTTTTGACGGGTCTGTACAACTCCTGGCTCTTGACCTTTGGTCGGTGTACGAGATGCACGAACAGTTTTCGTAGGGTGAGTATTTTTTCATGTTACACTGAATGCGGCAAGGAGGACTCGCCCATCCGCCTCTCCCCACCTGAAGCGACGAGGAGGTAGGGGCGCTCTGGCGGGATTTTACGGTACTATTAGGAAAGGGAATCCTACATAAGCTTCAAATAGTTTGTGTCCAATCCATTTGCTGATTACTAGTATAAAGTCTTGGCAAGGACTTAGAGCAGTCCTTCCAATTGTAGGGACTGGACGACCTGTGATGGCTCGGTGAGGATGGCTTCTCGTACATCTGCAAACACAGCTAAATTCGAGAGATCTTTGCTACTCTTCCGGGACATTTGAGCAGTAGGTGGTCAGCGTTCTCAGCAGTCCCTACACACGATTCGCAGTCTGGCGAGGGTCGTGCCGAGATTCGATGGAGGTACTCGTTAAGTAGACTGCTGTGTCCAGTGAGGAGCTGGTTAATTAAGCGTAGACATTGTTTTGCGCCCAGTGTTGTCTGGGCCAAGCTTCTTGATCTTTTAAGGAGTGGTCTCGGGTAGGCAGTGGCATTGCGGATGAATGACTTGGCTGCTTAAACAGGCAGGTCGATGTTACCCTGGTCACCATCGCACCCCAGCTTGGCAAGATGATCTGCCCTGTCGTTGCCCTTGATGCCAGTGGATCTACATGACGTACATGTGGAAGTACGTGCCAAATCTGATCCAAGCACAGTAGGACCGTGAAGTTCGTGACTTTCATCAAGCTGTTAGTTCTTGTGAACTCAGCTCCAAGGGATCGAGTGATGGGGACTCCAAGTGAGACTAAAAAAAAACGGTGGCATTTCTTTTGAAAATTCTGAGGGACGCCTCGCGCAGTTTCATTTTACATTATTCATTCATAGGCAACTTACCCAGGCTCAAATAAGCACCGGCGAAGTTCACACATCGTCAAGCAATTATTTCAATGTTTCGGTCTACATAAGCATCGTCACTGATTCGTCAGGAATGAAGTGGCCATGCATGGAATCTCCCCCCAAAAAGTCGTATAAGCCACGGCTTTTATACAAGACTTTACAGTATACAAGACTTTACAGTACACGAATACACCAGCACTACCTGTACATATTACAGCATGCACTGGCAACCACTCAGGAGATTACAGCATGCACTGGCAACCACTCAGGAGATTACAGCATGCACTGGCAACCACTCAGGAGATTACAGCATGCACTGGCAACCACTCAGGATATTACAGCATGCACTGGCAACCACTCAGGAGAATGAAAGCATGCACTGGCAACCACTCAGGAGAATGAAAGAAAAACTCAGGAGGAGAATGAGAAAGAGAAGACTGATAGTCGTGTGTGACTACAATCATTGGAAATTGAAAAAAATTGAAACCATAACATCGTGATTCGAAATCGACCGAACAGCACCACAAGGAACACACACACACACACACACAGCGGCATGTACACAGCTTCCATACAAAGCACAACATACATGCACTTACCGTTATGCCACAGATGACGGAAAACATGCTTTACTGGTTCAATTGGCTGGTTTAAAACAACTAAAGCAAAGCGCCTTCCATCATCCACTTCTCCTGGTGAGGATATAAAGGTAAAAATCACAGATGTATCTATGCACAACAAGGAGAGGTGTTTAGTCGCATTGTGTGTAATAGAAGAAGGTAAGCACCGACATTCGGGAAGAAAGTACAAAGTACTTCCAAGTAGGAAGGTAAGAATCTGCCCGCGCTACCTTCCTCACACAGTACCCAAACACATACCCAAACACATACCCAAACACAGTACCCAAACACATACCCAAACAATACCTTCCTCACATACCCAAACACATACCCAAACACATACCCAAACACAGTACCCAAACACATACCCAAACACAGTACCCAAACACATACCCAAACAATACCTTCCTCACATACCCAAACAATACCTTCCTCACATACCCAAACAATACCTTCCTCACATACCCAAACAATACAGTAATACACACCAAATGCCCGGTAATGGTGTAAGCTGCGCCGCTGTGTGCACCCTACCGCCATGCCGCTACGTCTACTGTTCTAGGCGTGAAACCATTTTAACCATAAATTATGATTTAACCATATGATTGGTTAGTTACTACGTACTACGTGGCGAAATTTCACTGATGGTTGTCACGAGTGAAAGTTCTGGAAGGGAGCATTAATTTTATATAAATGAAAGATGTGAACGCACTCATTAGCAGTCACACGGTATCAGTTGAGATACGATTTTGCGTCACGGATGTCTGCAGTAACCGTGACTTTCAACTGAGAAAAATTACGAGCCAAACAAGCAATACTAAAACAACGGGGGTGCGAAAGGATGTTGTACATAATGTCACTATGTGCTTGGATACATGAGTGTTAGTGACATGACTGAATGATCTGGAGCGCACTATTGAAGACAAATAGTCGCTATGTAGATCTACGACATAACCAAAGCAGTACTACAGCAGTAGTAGTTGTGTTGCATAGGCTAGAATGTAACGTCACAGCAATAAGTTTAACAGTGGACCATTTATCGCGAATAAACACTTGCTTCACCGTGATACACCTTATTTTAGTTTCCATGTCGTATCCAACAGGTAGATACTGTACGTGTACCGTATGTCAGTATGTACAACGCCTACACACGAGTTCTGAAATATAATTGATTCACATACCTGGCACTATCTTCTTCTTGAAAACGTCCAAAGGACACCATTTATACGTATCCATGTTCTCTGCCATGGCTCATTTCTCTTTCTCCTACTAGGAACTACTAGAAGCACTGGCACGCACGGCATGTGCATATCCAGGCGGTTTCTAGCTACTAATTACTATACTATACTAGTAATAGGGAGGTTTAGTTCCCACGTAACGGAAACGCGTACGTGGGTGATCCACGTTATAATAATAGGCTATTCATTTTTTTCCAACCGGTAAAGCCCCTGCATGTACTGCACTGCTGTACGGGCAAAGCAAAAATTATATAGAAAGAAGAAGAGAAGAAAAACTAAACTATTAAAAAAAACTAAACTAAAATTAAAAAGGCGACGAGGAGACAATAACTTTATTAATGCGATTAATAGTATAAGTGAAGCGGACATTACAAAATGATGAATGAGCGGTCGCAGGGCGCTGGCCATGCAGCCATGGCATGCATTATTACGCGCTGCTGCTGGTCGAATCGTATCAACAGTAGGGACCTTTCGCATTTGCTACGAAACGAATGCGAAACGAAAGTTTGATTCGGCTCGTAATCGTTTCGTTGAAAACAGATTTCAGGTTTCGCAAGTCGTCATGCAAATGTGCATGGCAACTACGAATACGGCCGCGGGCGCCGGTAGCTTGGCGTACGGGTTTTTACAGGCACACGTGCATGGATCATGGAATCAAGGGAAAAATGTGTACCTTGCAAAACATGTCTACCTATCCAAATAAATGTGTACCTGACGGATTCGGAGCGTGCCACGAATGAAGAGGCTTCCATTCGTGAAAACGAGTTCTCCGCAGGGACTCTGACGAATCCTCGAACCCAGGTGACGAATCAGCATTCGTTTCGTATCCGTACGCGGGGTGCGAAAGGTCCCTAATGTGCGCTGCATGCAACGACTTTGTTCTGTACGCGCTAAAGGCGCCGGCCCCGGGGGGGGGGGGGGGGGGGACTGGATTCCCATGTCCGCGACAGTAGGTTGATTGCCATTCGCACTCCTTCCCTACAAGTGGAGAATTTTTTTATTTCGTTTTTGCAGGAAATATTTCGGGAGAAGAGAAACAAAAGAGATTGAAAACAAATATAGCGAAAGTATAGTGTGGAGAGAGAGAGAGAGAGAGAGAGAGAGAGAGAGAGAGAGAGAGAGAGAGAGACAGACAGAGGGAGACAGACAGACAGAGAGAGCTGTCCAGTCTAGATAATGCCTTGCATAGCTCTTAGGCATTGAGCTGCAGTTTCTATGGCTGACAAGCCTCGGACTTTCTCCAGAGGCAGCACTGCCACTGACATGCCCTTCTTTGCCAAAGTGTCGCAACGATGCTTCACCATACCATCATAGTGGCCTGCAGGACGGAGTGTCCGCTCATTGCGACACAAAACCAATGCAACCAACTTGGTATTCGCTTCCTTTCCCCATGGCTGAGGCATTTTCGTATCGCAGTCCAAATACGCTGCCAGTGGCTTTTCGCCCACACAATCCTCATACGCCTTAATCGTCGGAAAGACGTGCTCCACACGGCTGTGCACATATTCCAACTCCAAGCGAACGTGCGCTCGGATTTCTCTGAGGCGCTCAGTGTGACTACTATGAAAACTCTGGTAAGAGATAGGCAGCGCGTCAAAGATTACTTCAATCTTGTCCAAAGTGTCTCTGTTGTAGCGAGCAGGGCCAATAAACTCCACGGAATTCTTAGTACCAAGATAATCCCACGCCTCTTTGGTCAACACATGGCCGTGGGAAACAGCAGCCCACATGCACTCAGTAATGACTTCTAAAGGCACTGCGTGGTCATGGACACTTACAGCAACACGCATACACTCCTCAACAAGATGAGAGACGATGTCGTACGCTTGATACCCGGCGTTTCCAAAACTACCAGCTACGATAGCACCATCGGTGTAGCACTGAGGGAAGTGGTAGTTATAAGCGGCATCTAAAGACCATTCATGCAGGGCTGCCATAAATGGTTCATGATAGTAGCGTAATCGTTGAACGGCTGGTGCCACCATTGCTAACAAGTGAAACGACGCTGTGTTCTTCTCCAGCTTCGGTAGGACAGCAGTTGATTTGTCAAGCAACGCTTTGGTGATTTCTTCATCAAGCTCTGTTAGCGGAAATGGATTGGCGCATAGTCCCCCAAGAAATCCAAGAATATGAGCTGGCTCGTTGACATCCTTCAAATTACTGAGCAGCCAATCCTCTCCAATTTTCATTTCATTCACCAGACCACTCGTTAATTTTCCCTCGTGAGCAACTATTCTTAAAAACTGCATGAAGTCCTTCTTGCTTCCACCTGAGGCCAGAGCTCGACGAAGAAATATTTCGGACTCCAGATTTTTTGGTTCGGTCGTTAACTTCAAAGGAACATGTGAAGAAGCCAAAATCCCATCATGCCGGCGCTGCATGTGGGTTTTGGCCAAGGCTGCTCTGGAACGCAAACCGCATCTACTCAATCGCCAAAGACTCATGGTGGGGCTAACTATCTGCTCATTGTAAGACACAATTCGACAAAATACATTGTACAGTTTTCACTGAACAGAATAATGATTACAAAGTCATAATCATTCAAGAAGCTGCTAGCTGGCGCCGGCATGGCATGGCATGCATGGCTGTGATTTATTGCAGATTTTTTTGCGATACACGCGTCACACATGCTACTCCAGCGCCATGCCGCCATCTCATCATCTGATCATGTGACTGATATGATCTGATGATTGTACATGCAGATTATTATGTCTTTGCATGTCTCTGCTGTCTGTACACCAGGCCATGCGCCAGGGTACACTGTACAGTCAGTGTCAGTACAGATGATTCTGAAGCTGAATAGTCGAGTACTAGTAGTACAGTCAACTTCGCTAATAACGACTTCGGATATAACGACAATTCGCGAATAACGACAGCATTTCCATGCCCAGAGCAAAGTCCCTTCCAACTGTAATACATATAATGAGACTTCGGGTATAACGACACTTCGCGAATAAGGACACTTTTTTGATGCCCCGTCGAGTGTCGTTATAAGCGAAGTTGACTGTAGTCGGAAAGCGCGCGAAATTCAATCCGCGGGAAAGTCACCAAACTGGCAAGCAACAACTACACTGTACTTGTTGCACTTGCAGTAAACAGTTACTCAGTATTCAGCAGTGTCAGAGCTCTGTTGTTTGGCTTAGAAGAGAAGAAACTAGCTCTAGCTAGTACTCAGTAGTTTATAGTTGTTACCACTGTAAAAGCGTAAGGTACACACACTTCACTTAGTAAGTTTTAAAACGCTTTCTTTCGAATTCAACATGAGCATGGCTATGTCACCAGATCGCATGAGCTCGTCTGTTCGCGGACAGATTCAGGTGAGTGACTGCTTGTACGAACTCACTGAGGAGCATTTACCTGCTCTTGTCCCAAACGCCTGCCTCGTAGAGTTTCTGCATGCGCACTATGTTGTAGAAACATTGATCATGAAATGGATTTATTGACGCAGTATTTCAACTAAAGCAACTTCCCTCATTGATCAGGTATTTTGAAGCAGACCTTAGCATGTTCCATCGTACTTTATATCTTGGTTCTTACGTACAGGTGATTATTGGACCGATGTTTTCTGGAAAAACGTAAGTCGAGAGCTTCATCATGCATGCATTCCGTGAGTCAAATAGTATTGATGTACACTGTACAATTAAATCAGTCAAATGGTTACCAAGGTTTAATAGGGGTGCGCGGATTATTCCCGGAATAATTTGGGAATACTATCGTTGAGAAAAATTTGGGAATTTTAGGGGAATTCTATCGATCTTTTGCCAGATCCATTGACCTTCAGAAGAGTTTTTGGGGAATTCTGTCAATTTTGACCTGCCAGAGAACAAGCGCGCATCCATGGACGCACGTACATGTAGCAACACCCGGACACGACACCGGTCCTTGGTTTACTTGGACAACGTAACAGGACTTGACTGGGCTTGCATGCATTCATGCAGACACCAGGAGCAGAGTGTGGACTAGTAGTACACAGGGAATTCACGCTGCTGGCGCCACACATGTACATGTATGTAGATCCTGCATGCAGTGATCACGTGCCTGACCGTCCATTTTGCATACTAAAGAGCATGCGCAAGGCACAGTTCGTGCTGGGGTTCTTTTTGGGGGGGGGGGGGGAAATTCTGGAGAATTTTTTCGATGTTTTGGGAGAATACATTCAAAGTTCCGTGGGAAATGCCCGAAAGCATAATATCGGGTGCGTGCGAGCATAATCCACGCACCCCTAACCAAGGTCCGGTAGTAGCAGGTACTAGTACATAATTGTACATGACTAGAGTAGAGGCCGCTATGTGATTATTATGTGATTACATCATTCAAACTACACAGGTTATGAGGTTACATCATCATTTGAGATGTTTTTGTATGGAGTGTCAAAGCCGCAGCACAATGCAGTGCTGCCAAATAATTTTCGCTCAAAATCGGACACACTTCACCACATGGTGCGACTTTTTCTTCTCGGCAAATTTTTCCAGAGAATTCCAAAATACAGTCGAATGTCACTTATCCGGTCGCCAGTTATCCGAGCACGGTTATCCGACAAGCCGGGGAGTGGTAATTTTATAACTCTCAACAGTAAAATTCTATAAAAAATGTTTTTGTATATCTACACGGTGTAATATGCATTTACTTGAAGTAGATGTGGTCAATTATGCTAACATGTATGTGTACATGGAGCAATTCATGAATATGCATGAATATATTTGGGTATTGTGTACATAAATCAGTCAAATCCAGCCATATATGCACATAAATAATGATATCAGTTATCCAACACATTCAGTTATCCAACATGCCTGATTCCCGAAGTGGTCGGATAAGTGACATTCGACTGTACCATAAAATTCGCTTCGTTGCCATGGTAACCGATATCGCACCCGACGTTTCACGAATTATTTTGTAATGCATGAGTGTGGTCACACAGTGAACAATGACTATGTACATACCATCCAGGCTATATTACTTTGCACTTCCCCAGCCCAGCGCCAGCCTTTTTAGAAGCACATGTTCAGAGTTTTGAGCCTTCAGTTGCACTGAAAAGTGAAAATACAGGACTTATCATTATTGGAAAGCACTGATCCCCGACATTTTTGGCTGCTTTTCGGACGTTTCCTTTTTCGGACCGGTTTTCGGAAGAGCCTTCAAAAATCGAACACTGTCCGAAAAATCGGAGGGTTTGGCAGCACTGACAGTGGTACGCTAGTGCTGCTTTGCCATTCTCAACTGACACTCTATGGTTTTCCACTCAATACAGTTTCCTCGATACAAAGAGCTTCGATAAGCTTTGTGAGCCAACATCACCTTGAAGAAGATCATGCAGTAAATCCAGGACACTTCCAGCTGTAGCTGATGGCGGCATACATGTATAGCGTTTGGGTGATGGGTTCTTTCCAAAGGGACAATTTGAGACATGCGTTACTAGTTGGCAGGGAGCTCTCGCCAAGCAGCCCATGAACTCAAACTCTCCGGTATTATCGCATGACACGACAAGTTCAGCCAATATGCTGCTGGCAACTGGATGTGCTGGTTGAAACGTCGAGGGTGAAACCGTATTCTTAGGGGAATGGCAGATAATGCAGGTTTCTAGCCAACACACAATACATATTGCACTAAATGGTTCGCTGCAGCTAGGAGATTCCACAGCACAATTGACTGCAAGCCAGCAACAGGACAGATATCATAAGGGAACTGTCTGTAAACATTAATCTGTCCAGTGACAGAGTCAAACTGCACACGGCTATCAGTGCACAAGGAGGAGAGCCATTCCTTGTCCACTTCGATGCCATTGGCGGGTGAATGTCTGCTTGGCTGTGGTGTCTACGCACCCCGAAGGGATTTCGGTTTCTTTTGACAGCCCCTGTCTTTCTGGCAGGACCAAGGAACTACTCGTTAACACCACCAGTTACTTGACAATCAGCTCGTGCGATAACATTGGTCGGGATGGAGATGTGACTTTTGACGTTTGTTGAATTTGTTGGATTCTTGTTACAGGACGGAGCTGATAAGACGGATCCGCCGGTTTGAAGTTGCACAGCATAAAGCACTGCTAATAAAGTACGATCAAGATAACCGCTATGACAATGAGTGCGTGGCAACTCATGACAGGTTAGTACCGTATTTTTCCGGTTGTAAGTCGACCTTCTACGACTAAAAATAGAAGGAGAAAGGGTGGGGGTCGACTTACAACCGGGATTCGACTTATAACCGGGAACTATGAGAATCTTACAAAAAATGACCTGCCCTGCATGCATGAGTGCACCATGTGTACACATGTTTTCCAGTTTATTGGCCTTTTTCAAGGATTGGGACTTTATACCCTCCAATAAGGAATGTTTACATGATTTGTTGATGTGTTAGTAGCAGGGCGTGGTTAGTAGTGCTTCGTTGGGTGAAAACATTACAACGCAGAATTGAGACCTCCGGATACGGGGTCGACCTATAACCGGGGTCGACTTACAACCGGTAAAATACGGTAACTGTAATACTGTATAGCAGGAAATTTTCGGACGGAATTTATTTTCGTACAATTTCGTACACGCCTCTTTTGTACTAAAATTAATTCCGTACTAAAATTTGTTCCTGTGGAGTCATGTACACTATACATGCGTACCGCATGAGAACACGTGCATTTAGCATGCAGCACTGTACGAAAGGTCGAAATTCGGCTTTGTCCGAAAATATTTCCGTCCGAAAATTTCCTGCTATACAATAGTAGTAACTAATTAGTCCTGGTGGTGACAGTCAAAGATTTTTCCAATTGCGCCTTTCCCTCAAACCAATAATCAATAAAAACTGATTTTTAGTTTAATATTGAAAGTAGAATTCTTCCTCTGTTCACACAGCGCTCAATACCACGATAGGCACAGCTTCTTGAATCATTTTTACAGTGCTCAATACGACAATAGGCAACGCTTCCTTGCACGGAAGGTAGAACACCAGTTTGGGTTGCTACTCTCTAGGTTTACACTGTGATAACGTTTACCATCAAAGCCGACTTGTGCTATCTCGTCACTCGTTCGGAAAGTGCTTGATGTCATGTCATCTATGTCTTGATAGCAGACGTGCTGATGTTGATGCCGTGCGGAAAGCGCGAATGTGAATATTCGATACAATCAAAATATATAATACGCGGATATAATAATTATATGTACTCAGATGGAGAGCCAAGGTTTAATTTATACGAGAGAGCTTGGAAGTTCAGGGCCCTACGCTATGCTTTTTTGCCTTGATGACCTAGACAAAAAAAGCATAGGGATGTTATAAATTCTTTAAAAAATTCCTTTTTTTTTAAGACATAACCTGAGATTCGAACGCGCACTATCGCGCGCGCTGCATGCATCCCCCGATACACTTCGCATACATACTAATTCTTCGAAGTTGCTTCACGTTATGATCTTGCATTTGAAAGCCCTATTTGGATATGCATTGTGGCCAGCCGTCTTTGATGGTACGGTACGGGATAGGTACGGGACAGGTACGATCGAGGGTAATACGACACCGTCTACCGCCTTGATGACGGCAAAAAAAGCAAAGGGATGTTATAAATATTTCAATTCTCCTATTGTTTTTTCAGGCATATCCTGGGATTCGAACCCGCACTATCGCCCTACATGCATTCCCCCGTACACTTCGCATTCATACCCATTCTTCCAAGTTGCTTCACATTATGATCTTGCGTTTGAAAGCCCTATTTGAATATTGCGGCCAGCTGTATGTGGCCAGCTGTGTTTGATGGTACGGTACGGTACGGGACAGATACGGGATAGCGCCAGGCGTGACACAAACAAACAAACAAACAAACACACAAATACCAAACGAGATAGCTTGGAAGCTCAGGGCCCTACGCTATGCTTTTTTGCCTTGATGACCTAGACAAAAAAAAAGCATAGGGATGTTATAAATTCTTTAAAAAAATCCTCTCTTTTTTTAAGACATAACCTGGGATTCGAACCCGCACTATCGCGCGCCCTGCATGCATCCCCCGATACACTTCGCATACATACTAATTCTTCCAAGTTGTTTCACATTGTGATCTTGCATTTGAAAGCCCTATTTGAATATGCATTGTGGCCAGCCGTCTTTGATGGCACGGTACGGGACAGGTACGATCGAGGGTAATACGACACCGTCTCCCGTACCGTACCATCAAACACAGCTGGCCACATACAGCTGCCCGCAATATTCAAATAGGGCTTTCAAACGCAAGATATTAACGTGAAGCAACTTGGAAGAATGGGTATGAATGCGAAGTGTATGGGGGAATGCATGTAAGGCGATAGTGCGGGTTCGAATCCCAGGATATGCCTGAAAAAAATAGGAGAATTGAAAAATTTATAACATCCTATGCTTTTTTGCCGTCAGATACGGATAGCGCCAGGCGTGACACAAACAAACACACAAACAAATACCAAACGAGAGAGCTTGGAAGCTCAGGGCCCTACGCTATGCTTTTTTGCCTTGATGACCTAGACAACAAAAAAAAGCATAGGGATGTTATAAATTTTTTTTTAAGACATAACCTGGGATTCGAACCCGCACTATCGCCCTACATGCATTCCCCTGTGTTGCCACACCTGCCGACATGTCAGTAGCCTGCCGATTTTTGAGGCATGTCACGACCTGCCGACAATTGACCTTCTCCTGCCGACAACAGCCATGAAAGTGTCCAAGTTTGACCTTATGCGTGGTTTAGAAGTTATGATCCAGATTTTTGGCTCTTACTGCTCATTGCGCGTGTTTCCATAGCTCTCTCCTAAGGCGCTAAGCGAAATCATCATCTGTCTCGGGGAAAAATCGGCAAACTCAGCCTGAGTCTCACGCAAAACGTGACATTTTTTCTTATCAGTGCTGCACGCGTGTGTGTGTATTGAGCTCGCTAGATAGGGGAGGGGGTCCGGGGGCGAAGCCCCCGGATGATGCATTTTCTTTTTTTATCCTACTGATATTTGGCTATAATGATGTGGCAACACTGATTCCCCCATACACTTCGCATTCATACCCATTCTTCCAAGTTGCTTCACGTTATTATCTTGCGTTTGAAAGCCCAATTTGAATATGCATTGTGCCACAGTGGCCAGCCGTCTTTGATGGCACGGTACGGTAGGGGATAGGTACGGGACAGGTACGATCGAGGGTAATACAACACCGTCTCCCGTACCATCAAACACAGCTGGCCACATACAGCTGCCTGCAATATTCAAATAGGGCTTTCAAACGCAAGATAATAACGTGAAGCAACTTGGAAGAATGGGTATGAATGCGAAGTGTATGGGGGAATGCATGTAGGGCGATAGTGCGGGTTCGAATCCCAGGATATGCCTGAAAAAATAATAGGAGAATTGAAAAATTTATAACATCCTATGCTTTTTTGCCGTCAGATACGGATAGCGCCAGGCGTGACACAAACAAACAAACACACAAAAAAATACCAAACGAGAGAGCTTGGAAGCTCAGGGCCCTGCGCTATGCTTTGTTGCCTAGCTCATCGTGCATGTTGTTAGAACTGATGGAAATGCTTTTTCCTTTGATTAGCTAAATCCTTGTTTTGCAAAAACGTTTCAATGAGATACTGAAGTACAAGTAACGTCTTCTGCATAGCTATGGGACCGGCGCTGACTCTGCCGATGACGGGCGTTCTGGAGTCGACGGGATGTCTGTCCTGACGTTTCCTGGGACCGGCGCTGACTCTGCCGATCACGGGCGTTCTTCTTCTTCTTATTATTATTATACTGACGGCAACTAACATCCATTCTGATTGCATTTACTCGTCTCCCTACTTCGTATTTCTTTCCAGAAAATCTCCCCATACAGCAGGGAGTCGTTTACATAATATGACTCCCTGCTATACATCTACATGACTGTATATACGTTATAATTATTATGCTATCGGCCTACATGCGATTTCCGGGCTGGTCGACAGGCGGCCCAGCCAGCCTGCTAGTGGGATCTCGGCCTCGCACACAAATCCACACAAAATTTAATGTTACTGCACTGAATGCATTCCCCCCATACACTTCGCATATATACTCATTCTCTTGATGGTACCGTACTCTTGATGATACGGGACAGGTACGGGATAGCGCCAGGCATGTCGATGGCACAAACAAACAAAAATATTGTGGCCAGCTGTCTTTGCTGGTACGGTACAGTACGGGATAGATACAAAATAGCGCCAGGCGTGACACAAACAAACACACAAACAAACACCAAATTAAAGCTGTGTGGACCCTGGCTAGCGCCAGACGTTACTGAAGTAACGTCTTCTGCATAGCTACGGGAATTAAAGCTGTGTGGACCCTGGCTAGCGCCAGACGTTACTGCAGTAACGTCTTCTGCATAGCTACGGGAATTAAAGCTGTGTGGACCCTGGCTAGCGCCAGACGTTACTGAAGTAACATCTTCTGCATAGCTACGGGAACAAAAGATTACTGGTGGTGTTAGTGGACAGTAGGGGTGAAACAATTATACCGAGTACTCAAGTACTCGCTCGGGTTTTTCAAAAATAATCGTACTCGGAATAAATCAGAGTACTCGTTCATACATGGTACATGCATTTACTACAGAAATCTGCAGTTTCAGGTCAGCAGTCGGCAGATGGTGATGTGCAGGCTGTGTGGTGAACATTTGTTCACGAGTAGAGAGAGCCCAAATGACCCACCAACCAATATACTGTAAATATACAAAATTTCGGCACTTCACGATTTTTGACATTTCGGCGGCGATTTATTTTCGGCCCTCTAGGGCATGGTATAGTGCGACAGATGCTGTGAAAAATTTCATCATCGTTTTAATTTAGGCGTTTTGGCACGGCTGTTTTTTTCGCGAAATTTGGACATTTAACAAGATGGCAGCCAAAAGTCTCGATTGGGCTGGATCGGCAAGGAAATTTGAATTTTCAAATTCTCAGCAGCCGATTTCGCTGTGGTTTTCGCTCGATTTAGAAAGCTACCAGGCCAGGTTTACCCGGAAAACAGGTATTCCGTGTTCCTCTTGAAACTAGCTTTCCGCTGGTACCTCACATGGCCAACTTCGTCTCAGGAACAGTTTGTTCTGCGTTGCACAAGTCAAGCCTTCTTTCTCGCTCGTTCCTTGATTCATCGTTGACATGCCTGCGTCAAGAAGCCCTTTCAGGAGTTTTCCCAGGTAGAGGACTATCTTCTGGCTATCTTCACCAAGTTTTATCACGTCCCGTGCACAAACTTCAGGTCCCGTGCGTTCGATGCTGAGCTACCTTTTCATGCGATTTAGGGGACAGATGGCATGGCGCTGGAGTCGCTGTTGAGTCCAGGAGGCCGAGGCCTGGTGGAAACTGCCCAGTAGACATGTGGGGTATTGCTGAAAAAGGCAGCAAGCACACAGATAGCCCCGAAATTGTGATGTAGATCCAATTGTGCGTTTGTTCGAGTGCATATCGGCAAATTTGAAAGTTGCACCCGTGATCCCGGCGAGGAGAAGCTGAAAATCAGTGCGTGCGTCAATATCCAGACTACCAGGGACAGCTTGGAGAGGTTCGAAAAGGTCAGGATGCTGGTTGACCACGGCAGGAGTTCCTTTTACCTTCCTTCTCTCTCAAATTGTCTGGATATTGAGTATCTCGCTCGAGCGCTTTCAAATAATAAATCCTGGTTTGACTTGCGAAATCGTGGAACCACACGGAGAGTGACATGAGTTTCATCCCAAAACGCAAACTCCCATCGTATTCATGAGGTTTGTACAGCGTTACGTAAATCGCACCGAACGACTCCATATTGTTAGATGTCCGTGCGCGAACAGCCGTGTTGGGTCAGTGCCGAATATAGCCGAAATTAAATAGCTGCCGAAAATTTGTATATTTACAGTACTCGAGAAAAATGACTGCTACTCGGTTCAATCAGGGTTGTATCATGTTATTTTAAAGCCCTTGGTGTGCAATTTTTAGGAGATGAAAAATACTCGAATATTCGATCGGAGAAAATCAGAGTACTCGAACTCGGGATCTCAGTGTCAACTTTCACCCCTAGTGGACAGTATAGCGTAACTTGTAGTTCCTTGGTCTTTCTCTTTTTTATATAATAATTATACGAGTTCAATAATCCTAAGAACACCAAATAAGGGGCCATCCGTAATTATCGATCTTTTTCACGAAACGAAAAAGTTTCGTTTATGGGTGGGTGGGTAGCGACCGGTTTCGTTTTGAAAAAACATCGAAAGCGGAAAAATCAACGCTCACTGCATGCATTGATGCATGCGTATACATTGTGAGAGTTCCTTTCGTCCTCGGATGACTTCTCCGACGAGGACCTAGCAGTCGTCATGGTCATTCACTCGGGGACCGACGACAGAATATAGATAAATACTTCGTTCCAGCCGCCGCGATGCAAGAGAATTTCAAATTACGGAGCGGGGCGCACGCCAAGTAAATTCTCACGCAAATATGGGGAGCGCCAGCCGCTGAAGACGATGTCGTCGTAATGTACCTGGAAAAATCTGATCGTGCTTATGGTGGGGAAGCCATGGAGAGTGATCCCCGTGTCGACAGTCTTCCAGAGACGGAAATTTAGGCCATCGACTTTCTACGTACCTAATTGACGGCAGCGCAGCGCGGCGTGCGTGCGACCTTACGGAGCTTTCCGACGGCGATTCTGGGGCGATGCTGCTCTCATTTGCGAGCGAGGCACGACCACTGAAGTCTGTGATAGCCATGGCGTTTGTTTCCGCTCCGAAGTCGACTTGTTTTGGAAGTGTCGGAACTCTGACGATTTGCAAGTGTACAATTCCCGTGTTTAGACGTAGAGGTGCCAATTATTTAGCAGCGTATGTGTGTGGTAGGTGAAAATAAATGTTTCCATGGTCAAGAAGTAGTACCAGACTTCCAAGAAAACATAACTTACTTGCACAATCACACAAAATGTGGCCTCGCTGTGTTGTAACAGCCAAATCAAGATCATTTTCTGCACAAAGTCTCAAGTCAATTAATTTTTTCGTTTCAGTGGGGTGGGTGGGTGGGGGTGGATCATAACTAAACTTTTTCGTTTCGTGAAAAAGATCGATAATTACGGATGGTCCCTAAATAAAAGTAGCTTGTATTTTTTATTTTAGGACTTGAAAAAGAAAATGTAGACTTTTAACTTTTTAAGTTCATGAAGTACTATTATGAGTAAAGAGCTGATACTTTGCCTCGCCGGCTTGTATGCTGTTTTCTTTCAGACACCTTGCTTCGAACACGAAAACGACTAAGAGTTCCACTCTTCTTCCTCTCATGAAGCAGGCTATCAAGTTTAATGTGGTCGGCATAGATGAAGGGCAGTTTGTAAGTTCTTGCGTATTATCAAGATTGCATGGGTGTGGCGGGAATTAGATCAAGTCGGTCAAGTGCAGTACGATGTACAACAAAGCAGATCAGGCCTGGCATTGTGCACATTTTCACCTTGCGCTAGTACATATTATGTACAGCAGTGCATGCATCAGTTCAACACTGTATTTATTGTAAACACTGAAGTCGCTTCACAGGCAGAAATTGGAGAGGGGACGGATCAACAGTACTTGACCGTACATGTACCCGCTCCAAAGTGTGCAACTCTGGATAAGGGGTTTCCGATGGCGCTTTTACTCTCATGTGGTCCATATTTGCTACAAGTTCGTTCTTACTGTGTACAACAGCGGTCAGATTGTGTGCACTCAGGACCTGCCATGAACTGTGACTCTCTGTCAGTGTGTGCCATTTTACTGCTCCATTGCTCACATAATTAAAAAAATGTTGAACCCTCGGGGGGGGGGGGGCTGTGTACTCTTCAACTGATGCATCATGCCCGGCGGGTTTTTTTGCGGGTTTTATTATCCGATAACCCGTGAGGTGCACGAGCACACCCAACTACCCGTGCTTAGCCCTGATATTAAACTGTACTCTGGATATAAATATTTTATACCTCACTCCATATACACTTACAGTCTTGGGCATGCTCTCCCTTAGTGGTGTATATATCTCCATATACACCGCTAAGGGAAATTAGCAGTAGTTGTCGGCGAGGAACACGCCATTTGGAGGTCACACACGGTGAATATGGAGAGGTATAGATATATTATAACAACGGGACCTCGTGTATATCGAGATATACACTCGGTTCCTTGTTATAATATATACGTACGACTTACATGCACGGTCAGGCTGGCGAACAACGACTCTCGGCCATGCGTGAAAAAGGTGTCGTTACTCGCAAGGTTGAAAATATGCAGTCAAATGGTCACTGCGGCTGAAGCTTGTGTCGTTGTTCGCGAGTTGTTATACCCGCGGTAGTTATTTTACAAGGTTGGCTGTACGTGCATCCCGGCAAGTTCACACAGAGATGTTCAATTTGAAACACCTTACAAGGCATCTACAGTCAAATCTATCGTAAGCGACCGCCCTTTGGTGCAAGAAAAAGCGATCTCTTACGGCAGATGTATGGTAAATCCGGCATACCGGGCATGCATATATGCTTCCATATACTGTACTCAAATCGACGAGAATAATGTGATTCTCAATATCATTTTATTGGATATTCAATAGAATATAGGGGTGAACAAACCCAAGAATAGTGCACATACCAGGGCTAATCTTTTACATGTTCAGCCAGCTGTCGATCAAGGTACTTGCAAGACAGCGCATTTTTCACACCTTGCAGTTGACAGCGCACTGGCAAGTACAGTTTCGCACCTGACTGAACCTGGGTCGCGGTCGCTTACAGCAGATTTGAATGCAGCCACTGTGCGTGAAATCGTGGTCGCTGGTCGCGCACAGCAGATGGTCGCTCTGGACAGATCAGTTTGTATGCGAAACCGTCGGTGCACGGAAAATCGGTCGCTAACGGTAGATGGTCGCCTACAGCAGAGGTCGCTAACGGCAGTTTTGACTGTAATATGGTCTGAAAGAAAAGTCTTGTTTCGTTTTTCGATTCTTTTTGCAGTTCCCAGACATTGTGGAGTTCTGCGAGACATTGGCGCGCCATGGCAAGACCGTTATAGTTGCTGCTTTGGATGGAACTTTCCAACGCCAGGTATGTGTTCAAGGTGTAGATATGTTGAGTGTGTCTACAATACCTGTACCTGGTGTCTGAGTGTGTGATTTAGCATTCATTACTTGCTCAAGTTCTGTATTTTCTGGTGAGAAATTACTTGTCCCCTACTTGATGCATACATAGATCTATACAAATGCGCCAGTTCTGGGCAGGAAAATAACTTTGTTATGGCCCACATTGGGGGGGGGGGGGGGTTGGAAGTACATACTTGGTACGATTTCCACGCTGAATTGCCAGAAAACATTTCTGAGACTGGAATGAAATTTTAATGGTTATGTGTAGTTAATTTCATGATGAGCTGAGAGTGATGCAGTGATGTGCATGTTTGCAGTGATGTGCATGGTTGCTGTTGTCAATACGTGTACAGTGTGACGTCCCTAGTACAGTGCAAAACGCTGGGGGGTCTGGCTTGGAGAAAACACGAGCAGGTTACCCGAATTATGCTCCTTTGTTGGCCTGGTCCTCTAATTGTATATTGTGTATGTTGTTTCTGTTGTTGTTTTCATCGCTGTGGCATAGGCATTTGGTGATGTCCTTAACCTTATACCACTTGCTGAGAGTGTTGTCAAGCTCAAGGCTGTCTGCATGCACTGCTGCCAAGATGCATCCTTTACTCGCCGCCTGGGACAAGAAACGGAAGTGGAAGTTATTGGCGGTGCGGACAAGTATGTGGCTGTCTGTCGAAAGTGTTTTCACCTGCCCACGCTTCATCCGGATATGTTAACGCCAACCAGAGACTTTCCTCAGGAGTCGCGTGTGTCCCGACAATTGGTTTTCACCACTTGAACTCTCGTCTTTCTTAGGCTCTTAGTTTATATTGTTAGCCATGTTGAAAAAGCTAGTTTTTCTTTTGTTTAGAATTGTTGTAGATATCTAGGTCATCGCTGCTTTCCTCTTCTTCTCTTTAAATTCTCTTTCTTCCTAGGTTTGTGATGTTCTTGATCTTCCTTCCCATTCGCTAGTTCCCTCCCGAAAACGAAATAGACCCGCTTCATCAGTGAGCTAATGTTTGACTCTAAAAATGGAATTGTCTGAATATGTGTGGCTTGTGCAGCACTGTAAGGATTTTTTTTAATTGACTGTTTCTTTAGACTAGCTACGCCGCTATTGGTATGCTATTGGTATTGTAAGCAACACCGGTATGCTGGGCTGCACTAGAAACAGATTCACTCCATTTGCTTTTTCATAATGTTTGCCTGTTATGGAATTTACCTTTTTTATTTTAAATACATTATGTCCACTGAAAACAATTATTATTGTTTCTACCGCAATCAATAAAACTAGCTGAACCGACATTTGTGTACTTAAGGGCGACACTACGGTAATGAAAACGTGCTTTCAGCGTTAGATTCAGAACATCTATCTGAGGCTGGGTGTATCTCGATTTAAAATATTTAAACACACGGCGAGGAGACAACAATTTGATAACCGCAATCAATAAAACTAGCTGAACCGACATTTGTGTACTTAAGGGCGACACTACGGTAATGAAAACGTGCTTTCAGCGTTAGATTGATATACAGATGTTACTACTTCCGGCAATCAGTACGGTACTAGTAGTTCATTTGGCAGTCTCTTGGAGTCTGTATCACCACCCAAGTGCAACGGTGTCCACACGAAATGCATTCTTTCCCTCAAAGTACAGGTAAGATAAACATAGAGTTTGTTGATTTAGCTCTGCCGGTGTGAGAGTCGTGTTTATGTCGAAGGGATATTCGTGTGATATTCTTGTGAGTGCGTCATCTGAGCGTCCATGCTGTTTGCGCGATAAACAGAAAAGACTGGTCGTTCACGCCCAAAGAGTGTAGAGCATGTGATGCAGATATGCTAGATAGTCTCTGTGTGGTCAACGGCATGCATGCTGTATTCCATGTTTTGTTCATTTCATTTGTGGCAAGGAATATGTTGGTCAAAGAGAACTGATCTGTAGAGCTCACGGATAAGTATTGTGAGGCATGAATCCTAGTCGCTAAGTACTCCTGGCACAAGGATGCAGCGGGGAAAGCTCACACTCATGCACTTTGAATCCGTAGGGTGCCGGATCGGTGTACGACTGTATGTGCATGTGTGCGTGTGTGCATGCGCAAGGGGGGGGGGGAAGGGTCAAAGGTGTGCGAACGATAAAACGTGTGTGTCGGTTGGTGTGTGTGTGTGTGTGTGTGTGTGTGTCGTGTGTGTGTGTTGGAACAAAAAACACTTCAATCAGCTGTGTGATGTATACCGGGCTAAAATTAGTGGCGGTCAATTCATCAGCCTTGCAGGCTGTGTGTGTCTTTGCACCTCCCTGCCATTGATATGTAGACTGTAGTCTCACCTTGAGATCTATTATTATTATACGCATTCCCGCGGCAGCGATAACCAAGCAATTATGCTTGATCCACACGTTTGCTTATGCTGGACATTGAAACAGAGCAGATGTAGATATCTCCTAGAGAATGGTGCTCTACAAAACCAATGATCAAAGTTAATACTTCAGTAACATGGAGCGTCATAAAACTGGTCTCATTGGGAAAACGTCATCATTATTGTCTTTTCATATAGCATTTATGGGCAATGGGTGGTCAGATGATTAAAATGTATGAGGTTGAGTTTCCAGATAATTATTTTAGATTCAAATAGTAATATTATTATAGAATGGTTGTTATTATGAGTTTATAAGGGTGCCATGGCTGTTTCTACTCGTGACGAGGCTGTGCACCGCGGCAAACACTCTTCACCAGTGCGTTCCATGCTGGACGGTCCGCAGCAATCCGCTCCTTGAGCCTGATATCTAGACTACATATATGTACAGTCGTCCCTCTCTAATCCGGCACTTTATAATCCAGCACCCTCGATAAACCGGCACAATTTTCAGTAGCCAAATGTCCTCTTCATGCACATTGCAGCAGTAGATCAGATTTGTTAATCCAGCACCCTCCCTAATCCAGCAGATTTTCGTGGCACAAATGGTGCCGGATTATAGAGGGACCACTGTATAATATTATAATTATTATAACAAGGGACCGAGTGTATATCGAGAAATAACTGGTCGATATTTCTCGATATACACGAGGTCCCTTGTTATAATATATGTATACCTCTCCATGCGCAAGCTCAAGAGCAAAAAGGAGTGAATATAGCTTTTTAGAGAAAGAAAGCTATATTCACTCCTTTTTAGAGAAAGAAAGCTATAATATATTCACTCCTTTTTAGAGAAAGAAAGCTCCTCAGTGTTTTTTTGATGGTTTTCCTCAGTGGTGTATATACTGTAAAAGCAGAAAATTTCGGTGGTGTTTTATTTTCGGTAACTTCGGTGCCGACAATTTTTACCGATAATAAAACGCACCGAAAAGTTCGGTACAACCGATACTGTATACATGTAGTACTGGTACACTTACTTGGAAAACGGGTTACCGAAAATTTTCCTCTACCGAACCGCCAATTTTGGAGAATACCGAAAATATTACACCACCGAAAATTTCTGCTTTTACAGTACCTCCTTAGTGGTGTATATACCTCCTTTGTGGTGTATATTGAACAGTGTATATGGAAATTTATAAACTTCATGGGAGATCTGGTATATGAGTGTGGGTGTATATGGAGTGAGGTATAACGGTACATGCAATGTGTTATACATAGAATGTGTGTATCTGAGTGTATACATGTACTTCTTGCAACAGTGACAATGATGATGATCTTATCAGGCACAGTGATGTGTGAGATTCTGCATGTGTTGACTCTAGTACTGCATCACTGTTGTTCTAATATAATATACATGCACCACAGTTCAACTGACCCAGCTTCATTTTTCGTATCCTTCCTGTTCCTGATGAAGCCCTATACTGAGGGCGACACTGATTTGGATATACATGTACATGTCACGTTAGAGTTTTGGAAGTCACGGCAGACTCAGTTGAAGACCGTAGTGGTAGTAGTGGTATGGTATCATGATGAAAGAACTTGAAAAAGAAATGACAAAATCCGTACAGCATATTGGAGGAACCTCCTCCCTCCGAGGTTGGTGCTGATTTCGGGCCCAGGCACCTCACAGTTGCCAGGAATTGACGAACATAATATTCATATCGTTTCCACCAAGTGAGTAAAACTCTTCATAAGGTGTCCTTGGTCCTTATGACATCAAAAAAAAAAAAAAAGGATACATTGTATCCTTTTTTTTTTTTTTTTACTAGAATTGGCTTTATTTCACATACCAGTATGTCACAAGTTGTCATGATGTAGATTGACTACACACTACTTTCGCTCTCAAGCCGACCATACACACATCCCACAACAGCAAGGGTTCCTTCCGAGTGCTGATATAACTCCTGGCAGCTGTTTTGGTCATTGAGACCTCATCAGGGAAGGAATTATTTCAGTACCGTAAAGTATCCGCCCCTCTCTAATATCTGTTTTTAATTTTTCAACACCGTGAATGAATATTTTTTCTCAAGTGTTCCACAAAACTTCCACTCAAAGTTCTAAAAACTCGCTAATATCTGCCCCCCCCCCCCCCGACAGTCAATTTCAGTGTACCTGTGAAGTGACTTCAACGTACATGAACATGTATACAAGGTACAGTGCTGAAACTTTGAAAACGCATGTCGCCTGCTCACGGTACACAATACGTGCCAGTGCAGGTCTACCTATGGATGAAGAATTGAAAAATGTGCACAATCCAGCTAGAAAAGTCTCCGAGATCTTTCGTGTAGCTGTACATAGTACTGCACTCAGTCAGAGTCTAATTCCCGGCTCCAGAGGAAGAAAAAAACATCTGGGGAAGGGACATGACGTGGCGAATCAACGTTACTTTACACAGTACTCGGAAGGAACCTCTTGCTGTTGTGGGAAGTGTGTGTGTGGCAAACCACAGAGTGCAATGGTGGCGTGCAGAATTTCCATGGCCGAATCCTGCTGTGTGCCTTCTTCTACGGTGTCATGACAAGAGTTTGAAAGAATAACTGTAAACTAAACAGGGGGCCCATTGACTCCAGTGCTGGACCCCGCTTCTCTTGTTACAGCTGAGGCAGTGATCTCGTGACACTAATTACAGTGTACCGTACTTTCCGGGGTGTGTTAGCCGCACTGGTGCCAATGCTCCATCCCTCTTTTTGAGTCCAAAATTCGTATTTTTGTTGACATTCGGTGTATAAGCCGCACGCCAGACTTATAATTTTTGGCCACCTGACTTCAACAATGGGTATCGGTCCATACTACAGTCAACTTCGCTTTAAAAAAAAATGACACTCGGCGGGGCATCAGAAAAGTGTCCTTGTTCACGAAGTGTCGTTATACCCAAAGTCTCATTATATCAAGAGTACATAACCAAGAGTGTGCAACTCCTATCTCGAGCTGCGATGGGTTCACCCACGGCGGAATTTTTTTATTGCGTCATTCTTTGGCTGAAGTATGATCCAGTGCGTATGCTTTCCCGCACATTTTTTTTGTAAATACGGTGAGAGTTCACCAGGTCCAGGACACATCGATCTATCGTCCGTTGTTCTGCTTCGACTACCGTAGCTGAGATGCACAAATTCTTTGTACTTTGATCTCTGGCTACGCATGATGGCATCAGCGAGCCAAACAGCCGCCAAAGACTGATGTCATAACAAAATTCCGCCGTGGGCTGGGGGATCATCGAGTTGCACACTCTTGGTTATGTACTCTTGTTTATATGTATCACAGTTACATGGGACTTTGCTCTGGGCATGGAAATTCTGTCGTTATTCGCGAATTGTCATTATATCCGCAGTCGTTATTAGCGAAGTTGACTGTAGACATTATGATTCTTATGAATGGTTAATAATGAAAGGCATGACTGAAAATCTACAAAGTTGCCTGGTTTGTACTTCACTCAGAGCTGAAAACATGTGCACTAGTACAATGATGGATTGCAGTACATATACTAGTACATGAAAAATAGTTGAATGCCTCCCTGATGATGTCACAAGTTGTAGTGTATGCAGGGAGTACAGTAGCGCTGGTCGATTCACATGCAGCACTCAGAGTCTAAGCCGCAGGGGCAATTTTTGAGTTTTCTATGCGCTTTTTAAAGTGCGGCTAATGCACCGGAAAATATGGTATGTGCCGGCAGGAGCAGATTTTGATGGATCAGGCCGTACCAAAGACTTAGTCTTTCGTCATACTCGGGTATGATGTGGCGGGTACATGTACATGTACATAACCTTCTTGGCAGTAAAGCCAAGGAGTTGGTGCCCTGGCCTTACCAACCTGACCGGTTGTGCTGCCCCTATACTTCCCTTTTCTTCTGTTTCCATGGTTTGACAAGTTATGTTGGTTCCGGTTTATTTCGAAGTCCATCATGATAGGAAAGGTGTTTGCTCCCCATACCGGAGCTCATGCTTTTCCGCCGACTTGACTTGACGCAATGTTATCATCGCCGAAATCGCTACCTCCATCACGATGTACATCTATGAATTTATTATAATTATATTCAGCTTGTGTCCAATCCTTTCGCAATTGGTTATTTTCTGTTTGCCCGTAAAAGAAGCTTTCTATTTTGTGGTAAAAAATAAAGTGACTGTCTTGACAGTAGAAATAAAACTGTTCATGTACAGTCAGACCTCATTCCTTCTCCGTTTCTCTCTAGTAATGGTTCATGAATCCGCCCAGTCCATATTCCTTCTCCGTTTCTCTCTGTTTTTCTTTCCTTTCAGTTGCATCTTCCTCTCTGCTCTGTTTTATTTTCTCTTTTCGTTCGTCCCTCTTGATATTTGTACTTTGTACTGTTGAGGCAACGAACCGAAATAATAAAAACCAAACCAAACCAAACCCAAACCTCGCATAACCGCACACATCCGTTTTCCAGAAAAATATCCGGATAGGCGATTGAACCGGATAATCGAACACACATACTGTATATGTGCATGGCATATGCTGTAAATCGGTAACCAACCATTTTCTACTGGATGGCGAGGGATCCGGATAAACGAGGACCGGATAAACGAGGTCTGACTGTACATGTAGAAGCAAGCCAAGAGTCCACAAAGCGCTGTTCAGCCGTAGAAGGTTTGATTTCATGGGTTTCCGTTGGAATGAGGGACTACTGGTAGTATTGTACTACAATGTACTCCCTCCCTGGTTGGAGTTGGAATGAAAGGTAAATTTTTTCAAAAGAAAATGAATGACCATAATTATTATGGACTCCCGGTCAGTCCCGGATCCCTACAATAGTAAAATTAACGTTTCATTCCCCTGTTCCTGCCAACCAGGTAGCTAATGACTATGTACCGGTAGTACAACATTGTAGGTCTACGAGTACTACTCCTGGGATCCCTGGTTCCAACGAAAAAACCATGAAAATCAAACCCACTACGGCTGAACAGTGTTTTATGGACTCTTGCTTCTACACAGCGAACAGTTTCTATTTTTTAGTGTGAGTGCAGTGGTGACTTCATAGTGTGAGCCCCCCCCCCCCCTCGCAAAGGGTAGTTTCCCCGACTGCCCGAGCCAGCTGCACGCCAGTCTGCACTGCACAGTGCATGCAGTCTGTAGTGTAGCTGTGTGCTGTTCATCGTGGAAATAAAACTGTGAAAGAAACATTTTCCTTCACTGGCTTCAGTATGACCTGTTGATACGATCGTGCCCCTTGTTTCAACTGCAGTCCCTCGGCCAATACTTATACACTAAGTGATAGTTTCTCTTTGCCATGAATTATGGCATCTAACCAGCCCGACAGTATAGTTCCCAATCCTGACGTTATCAATCGAACAACAAGAAATGAGAAATTGCCCCTTTTGAACAAGACGCCGAGTGTCATCAGCCAGGTCAGTGTCCTGAACGAATTCCCGGACGAAGCATTTACAGCTATTGTACGAAATGTGGAGAAGGCAATCGAGGACGGAATTCTACCTGAGAGAATCGCCCAGGGAAGCAGTGGAAGTTATTTTGCCAAAGATGTGAATAGGGTAGGTTGCTTTTGCTATCTGTCATGGGAATGGATGCCATTTCAATTGTATCGAATTGCGACCAATGCTACAAAAAAAACTGCAAAAATGTAGATGTGAATGTATAATGTCGGCGAGGAAACAATAATTTTTATTTCTGTGAACGAGCTATGAAGAGTATAAGGGCTGCAGATAGCGCCACACAACGACAGCAATTTACTTACCGTACTTCCTCACATACAGTTGCGCTCACTGAAATCCGACCCGAAGTGCAAAGCTGGCGCCCTGGACCAGTTCCGATTACATCATTGTATTTGTACATGTGTACGGTCCAGCCGCATTTGTGCCACTTCCAGGGCGTCAAGGGCGTGCTAGTTGAGGGCGCCGGAATGGAGCTGGGGTCATTCTGTCCTTATCACATGGTTCTGGCAGTTGTGTTTGGGGAACAGGTGTATAGGCGACTCATCAGTGAACATTATGTTGTTCCCCAGCTTCTTCCCTGCTGACGTGTCCCGGTGATAACCCTGGTCTTTTAGCGCCTGACAAACACGATGACGATTCTCTTTGTTGCGCGCTGATAGCAAGGGTTCGCGCGGCTGGCGATAGGCTTTAGGTCCCCAAGGCTTGCTTCTAACATATCTGCGCCCGGTCGACTCATACACATCCACTACGTTGTTTATCCTGAGTTTTTTTAGCGGTCTTCCTTGAGATGCACCCCACTTGCCCTTCGTCTGCTTCGAGATTGACTGCTTGGCAGCACCGCTCAACTTTATAGGCCTGCCACTTTCTGGGGCATCAGCAAAGCTTCCTTCCTCTCCTCAGCCATCGCTTCACAAATGACTTACTCTAATTTCAGAAATTTTCGGTGCTCAATATTTTCGGTATGAGGGCAACAGGCCAGGTTAGGTGAACAGAAATTTTCGGTACAGAGAAGCAGTTCCCTATTGGATTATGATTGTGTGTTAGTGTTTATTCGGTGTATTGCAATTTTAGGTATGAAACAAACGCACCGAAAGTACCGAAAATAAAAGTACACTGAAAATTTGTGAAATTACAGTATTCTGGCCCGTTGCCTCAAGAATCTCTTGGTAGGACATGCCGCGCTGCTTCATGTCACAAATTATCCGCCTCTCATCTTCACTATCTCTAAGGGTGCGTTTGGTTGGTACGATCTAGAACAAGATCGAGCAGCTGGTGCTCATGGAGCAGCCTCGTGCCAACCAAACGGTACTCCAGAAACAGAGCACATTTTTGTGAAAAAGTGTGCCAAACTTGGCGCATTCTTCAAAATGTGTACGGGTCACCATGGTCACTTTGTACGGTACAACGAGAGTCCAACCCAAAAGCGTATGCACGTGATCATTTGGGACCAAAATCGATGTTCCCGCCAGGTTTCACTGTGAAAAGTGAAACTGCTCGGTCTGCTCCGGCCTCGAGGCCGGAGCAAGCAGATCATGTTCTGGCCGACCCAGAACAGGTGCAGTCCCAACCAAACGCGCTGTTCTGGTGAATCCTGTTCTAGGTTGTACCAACCAAACGCGCCCTAAGTGTAATTTTCACGCTAGACAGCTCGGAAAACCCCCCTGAAACTACTCAATGCAAACTGAGAATTTTGAACAAAAAAATTCATTTGTGTCCACACACCTATAAATCCGCTCAGTAGGCGGTACACAGAAGCGGCAATATGTGCCCATCGCTATGTTCTGGTTGCATTGCATAATCTATTGGTGTTTCTGACCTTCCTTGCTTATGCTGTATGTGTGTCAGGAAACTGTGGGTGTTTTCAAGCCCCGCGATGAAGAGCCATATGGTGCTGCAAATCCCAAGTGGACGAAGTGGTTGCAGAAACATTGCTGTCCTTGCACGTTTGGACGAGGCTGTCTTGTGCCCAACCTCGGGTACCTATCAGAAGCCGGAGCAAGCATAGTGGACGAGAAACTTGGTCTAGATATTGTGCCAACAACGAAGGTGAGGGTTCCTTTTTGTACAAGTGTGTGTGTGGACGTGTGTGTACTTGTATGGTGTGTATGTGTGTGTGTGTGTGTGTGTGTGTGTGTGTGTGTGTATGTGTGTGTGTGTGTGTGTGTGTGTGTGTGTGTGTGTGTGTGTGTGTGTGTGTGCGTGCGCACGTGCATGAACCAAATGGTACAATTGTTTATTCGATTTTAGTCGAGAGGTTACGGATTCTCTTCCCGGTGAAACCCCGTCTTTCTCTTTTGCTCTTTCCATCCTGGGTGCTACCAACATCCAGTGCATGCATAGTGGTGTGGCATGTGTAATGTCTACAAGCTATGTGGTGTAAGACCACTTAGTCCAGGCCGTATTAGTAGTGGTAAACTCTTCAGCATTGCAAGGCATTGATTGGTGCTGTTCCAGCCTGACATAGTTTGCTTGCATTGCCTTCACTGATGGTCGATCCAAGGGTTTTAAAGGTCTGAAAGCTGTATTTGTTAAAATTGTGTGTGCATGTCTGTGTGTGCTTGTGTGCATGTGTGCATGCATTCTTATGTGTGTTCATGTGTTCATGTGTGTGTGTGCGTATGTGTGTGTGTGCACGCGTGTGTGTGTGTGTGTGTGTGTGTGTGTGTGTGCACGCGTGTGTGCACGCGTGTGTATGTGCATGTGCATGCCGGCGTGTAGGTTGTGTATTTGGCTAGTGGATCATTTCACTACTCCACCTTTGACCGGGCAGCAACCGGTGCTCGTCAGCTTGCATCAGAGACGCTACCAAGCCGAATACGCCATCATGTCAAGACTGGCCTTCCATTGAAGGTGAGCTAGAACGTTGATTCTTTCACATGTTATGCTTGCCTTTGTTTTGTCTGTTGCCGTTTGTTCACGTAACACACATGCACAAACAAGCAAACGATCTAAAAACACCCGAGTGCGCAAACTCATGTGTTCATGACTGCAACGCAGGCTGACCAAGTTTTCCCCGCTATCACTCGGAGGTTTACTAAAGGAGCTCACTGCAATTGTGCCTGCTGTTGAACACAGGAGTCATGTTTGAATGTGCTTTCAGCTTGTTATTGCAATGGCATTGCCACTTTATATAGTGTTGCTACCGTTACTCACTTCTGTTGGCAAGTTAGCAGGCTGACACGAGTAATCTCTGTACTATTGGTCGGCTTGACGTGAATTTCTGTTTTCACATGGCTTGATTGTTTGCGGCAGGAGGGTTCATTTCAGCTATTTGTCAAAGGGTACCGTGATGCTGAGTACTGGCTGAGACAGTTTGATAGTGAGCCACTTAGTACTGAGATTTCCAATAATTTTCAACTGCTCTTCGAGAAGCTAGTCTGCTTGGATTACATTATTCGCAACACAGGTAAGACGCTCACGGTGTACATGCACTTCAGCTGTGGACACTCCTTTTTCTCACTTGCATTCCACCTGCACGATGAAACTCTCATGAGCCTACTTTCCCCTGTGTGTATGGAAAACATGCTTACATATTACTTCGTATCCACACTTGGGTACACTGCACCAGTGCTTGGGGACACTGCACCAGTGCTTGCAGGTCTAGGGCTACACAGCTGCCGGCGTGGCATTGAGCAGCACTATACTAGTGTAGTATCAACTATCATGAGTCCATACCCCCCAGAGTATGCTACTCTACATATGAGTTCTGGTATTGCGTGCTGCCTGCATTACATAGCCACAAGTTCAGACTCAGCTCATTACAGGCGTTTATAGTTTATACCTACTGTCGTGAACATGGAAACCCGGTCGAATGACCGGGGTCGACGCCCCTAGTGCGTACAGAACGTACTAGTAACTCATTGCATGCGGTGAAGCGTTGAGCTGAACACGCCAGACGCCTGCTAGCATGCTGTGAGGTGATGTCGTTCACAGCTACTACTTCGTACTATACACGGCTGCATGGCCAGCGCCCTGGGGCCGCTTGACCTCCGACTGGAGTTCCATGTCCACGACAATAGCTGTACTGTACCACTAGTCAGAGTAGAGTGTAAACGAAGATCATATGATCATATGGTGACGGAAAGCGCCTCCACTGTAGGCTAGTGTAGCTTGGGTTTCCCGTGCATGTCTCACCACCAATGTACACATCCCATAGGAATTTTGAATTTCATGTACGCAAATACGGCCCACAAGGCGAGAGTATGCTCCCCTTGTTGCCATCGCTGCATGTTTGCTGTTGCAAGGCCGGGCAGCAGCGGCCAGGCAACAGCAGCAGCAAGTCACTGATCAACGGCCAGCTTTTGATTTGCACACCTCGGCCACACAAACTAACACTCAAGTGGTGTATGCAATGCCTTGTCAAGTGACTGGTAACAATGGGTGTACATCTACATGTATGTGGTATGCGAGGCCAGCTGATCACTGGGCGGGCTGACGAGTGTAACAGTTATCAAACGTCTGTAGGTCTTAGCATGTGTATTCTGAATGAATTTGTGCACAAACTTATGGGGGAAACCCCATGCTGAGCAGTGCATCGTATAATGGCTTGCACATCTCAGCAGTTAGCACGTGCACGCTATACTAAGCAAATTTACAGCTCATCAGCGTCCACACTTCACGAGTTCTATTGTAGTTTAAACAACCAATAGACCACCGGCCTGCAATTGTTGTATTTCCACTCAAAACCGTCATCCCGACTTGCGTGCCTATTCAACTTTTTATACATGTGACATTTGTGCGGTCTTGTTTCGAATTTTAGATCGAGGAAACGATAACTGGCTTATTCGCTATGAGAGAGCAAGATCAACAACGGTTTCCGATCCTGAGGACAGGGGTACTGAGCTGCATGAAGTCTCCCCGGTAGGTCCACATTTTCTATCTTACTTGAAGTCCTCTATAAGGAGAATTTGTTTCTGCTCTCTTTTTTTTAAAGCCGTCTTGAACATATTTTTATTACCGTATTTTACCGGTTGTAAGTCGACCCCGGTTATAGGTGGACCCCCTTATCCGGAGGTCTCAATTCTGCGTTTTGAAGTTTTCACCAAAAATAGCACTACTAACCACTCCCTGCTACTAACACACCAACAATTCATGTAAACATTCCTTATGTATATAATAAATGTGGAGCCGAAGGATTTATTGCAATTACATACCAGTATAAAAACCGAGGTCCCCCAAGGTTTTTATAACTGGTATGTAATTGCAATAAATCCTGAGGCTACTACATTTATTATACATAATATGTTGACCTTCGCTTTCCCTAAAAAGGAGTATTTTATAAACAGTATTTATTGGCCTTAGTGGTATTTTATAAACAGTATTTATTGGCCCAAAAGCCAATAAATACCGTACTGTTTATAAAATACCACTATTCCCAATAAATACTGTTTATAAAATACTCCTTTTTAGAGAAAAGTGCAGTGCTGCATGGAAAAGTACAGCGGTATTTATTGAGTCAAGCAAGTTTATTTGAATTTGATACTGTTGATGGTGTGGCCACTAATGAGTGTGGGTATTTATCAAAGGTCAATATATTGGAGGGTATAATGTCCCAATCCTTGAGAAAGGCCAATAAACTGGCAAAATGTGTACACATGGTGCACTCGTGCATGCAGTGCAGGTCATTTTTTGTAAGATACTGATAGTTCCCGGTTATAAGTCGAATCCCAGTTGTAAGTCGACCCCCACCCTTTCTACTTCTATTTTTAGTTATAAAAGGTCGACTTACAACCGGTAAAATACGGTATGTATTACTGCTGCTATTTTTCATTCACTGCTATGCTTATAGTATACAATACAACTTTTCAAAAATTTCAATCGATCGTAACTCAGTCATTTCTGTGTTATTTCCAAAAACTAAAATATGTAGGTCGAAGAGAAAACTCCCAGCTGTCCATTGAAACAAACGCGAAAGTGCTCCGATACGCGGTTCCAGAGTTACGAAGCTCGAAAGTGGAGCCACGGCAAATGTTGCTCAATAGCCGTGTGCGCAGATTTGAATGAGGGATTTCCCAATCTTCCTGGGGATGCAGTGACGTGGAAACGCGTTAAAAATGGCAAAACGGACTCGTGGCTGTTTGTAAAAAAAGTTGAAGTTGTTACGAGCAAGGAGAGCGAAATGGCTGTCACAGGAGGACTTTGTCGGAATACTGGCTTTGCAACTAAGACGCTGGGCTGTAGCACTGGCGTTTTGACCTTCGTGGTGGCAAGTGTGGGCTCAGTGTGTTTCTCTTGCGACGAGCTTTCCAGGAAGCCCAAAATCGTAAAAATCCGCGAAAGGAGACTTAAGTTATGAACCGGAGAATTGTGCAATTTGAGATGAGTCGAGGTCAAATTCAGTCTGCGTACATTTTTTCCGTACATAAAGGGTTAATAACTTCAATTGTCGGTTGTGCCTTTAAGCGATTGCTGTGCCAATCTTGTTGCATGTTGTGCAGGATGAGGATGACATTGATTACTGCATGGTTTCGCACGGTGCTATCTCTGTGGCAGCAATAGACAATGGGCTGGCATTCCCCTTCAAGCACCCTGACTCTTGGCGGGCATGTAAGTTTCATCTTATTTGATTTTCTCTGGCATGCACACGCACGCACACACGCACACATGCACTCTTTCTCTCTCTCTCTCTCTCTCTCTCTCTCTCTCTCTCTCTCTCTCTCTCACTCATTTATTCTCTGTCTGTCTGATACCATCATGCCAGTTTTGGTACATGTCCTCTCCTCCTACATGTATACTGTGTCGTCCCCCATTATCAACATTATTCTGAAGAAGACCGGTACGGTCGAAACGTTAGCATTCATCAGTATCAAATCTTGTTCCTGTTGTGTAGTTCGGCTACTTACTGTTGTATCTCTCTCTCTCTCTCTCTCTCTCTCTCTCTCTCTCTCTCTCTCTCTCTCTCTCTCTCTCTCTCTCTCTCTCTCTCTCTCTCTCTCTCTCTCTCTCTGTGTTTTTTGTATGTGACTGGAAAGTTCCCTACCATTGGGCTTGGCTGCCACAAGCAAAAAAGCCGTTTAGCAAAGCAACAATCGATTGGATTCTTCCGAAAATTTCGTCACATAAATTCGTGGACGAGTTGGTGGAGGAACTCCAGGCTCTGTTCAAGGTAGGCGAGTTTGTAGATTGCTTGTATTTTTGGTCTTCTTTCTCGCATTGTTGACTTCCCCCGCAGCCTGCATGGTGGTGGTGGTGGTGTGTGTGTGTGGGGGGGGGGGAGGCAACAGTGCCTATCTGCATGCATGTTCATACACATGGACAGTTGTGCTCGGTGAAATCCCACCCAAAATGCATGCTTGTCTCCCTCAGCTTGGGGGAGTACTGTAGCGACCTGACTCCTATTACGTCACTTCATACATACAAGCATGCGCAAGAAAATACATCATTCTCTTTGGTCTCAACTTCTTTGCACGGCCCTTGACGCCCGGGAAGTGGTACGAATGCGGCTGGACGTACACATGTACAAGTAGAGTGGTGTAATCGGAACTGGTCCGGGGGGGGGGGGGGGGAGTCTCGGTCGGATTTCAGTAGGCGCATCTGTATATCCATTGTACATGTGGTTCTTTTGAAGCTGGTAAGCTATGTGCTGTTTGCTTCTTTGTGTCTATGATGCACCGCTGCTGTGTGACCTAGATTGATACCAGCTACAGTCCAGGCTTGTTTCAACAGCAGATGTCTGTCATGCGTGGTCAGGTATGGACATAATTATATCGTTTTCCTTTAATTATTTTCATCTCCCTTCGAAACAGCAATCACACACCTTGGACCTTTGGAAAGCCCAACGCCAGAGATCATGGTAGCTGTTAGGCGAGACAGTGATTCCTGTGTCGAGATAAGTCATTCTGATGGCGCTGGTGCTCCGGCGCCAATATGTCACTGCTTAACTGCGTAGAAAGCTAGATAACAGCACTTGTTTGCTGCTCCTGCTTATACCACCAATGTACCGATTACGAAGAGGAATGATGCGAAAGGCCTCATTGGATCTGCCTGTAGCTTCTGTGCTGCGTATGCTAACAACAGATCAGCAGACGTTTGGGTGATTGAGAGTAACTGCAGTGATTGAGAAGAACTGCAGTTCAGTATAAAGTACCCTAGATATGACTTTTCTCTTTGCTTTCGATGTAAAGTACTTCTTTTGAGGACTCGGTTGCGACATAGAAACTCAGATCAGCTGCCTCCAAAATTTTGGGAGCGGCACTCTCGCTTCTGCGGTTTCGCTTCAGCGGAATACACCACGGGCTGCTGCATATGGACTTGCTACGAGAAATTAATGCGTAATATGTCCATGCAGCAAAAATGCGTGGCAGGTAGTCATTGACCTGGTCTATTTTCCGTACTGTATGCACCACAGTCCACTGCACTCTCATTTTTCCGCCGATATACGAGCTTGCCCTGTCTGTCATATGTGACCATACGCACGTGGTTCCGCTGGAGAGGCACCAGTCTCGCCGCTGCAGAACCTCGCCGAAGCGGAACCCCAGTGCATGTGTGGCCAGGCCCTAAGTATGTTTTACTGAAGTATTGATTTTCCTGCCCTTGACCCATTGGAGGTACATGTACGAATACTGAAGTACTGATTTTACCGTCTCTGGAGGTACGTTGTGCTGAAGTACTGATTGTACGGTCCCTTGAGGGATGTTGTATTCAGTACTGGTTTTACGGTCCCTGGCGGTACGTTATACTGAAGTACTGATTTTTACTGCCCCTGGCGGTATGGAGGTACAAACATGGGTGGGTGGCAACACTGGACTGCTCGCTCAGCTCAGCACAAGTCACTTGGAACACAAGCTGTTAGCAACGTGTTTGCTGTAATTCCAGGCTTAGAACCTGAGGTTTACTGGGCTTGAAGGAGAGTTTCACATTGTTTTGTTCCTACAATAAGTACTTCAGTAGATGGTGGACAGAGTGTGGAAGGGAGAGCAGCGTTACGTAGCAGTCATACCGGTATGTATGTCACTATGTGTTTGCCTTTCTTGCTTGCAGATCTTGAATTTAGAGAAGGCATTTCGAGACAGGATGTCACCATGGCAGCTGGTACATCTGGCCAGTTGTACAGTGGACCGGGAGAGTGCTGTGACTGGCGAAGCCAAGATTCATCTGCGTACTCCCGTCTTCAGTTGTTGGTAGTCCTCACGAATTGTGCACCGCCTAGCACCCCTCTACGTGCGCTTGCTGCTGCTGCTTCCATCACTACTACTGCCGCTGCTGCTGCTGCTTGTGCAAACCTGCAAGGTCGTACTTACTGGTAAAATGTATCAGTTATTCCACTCTTCCAAGCATCTGCAGCTAGTGGACAGCGGGCATCTGGGAACAGGATTCTATGGGCTTCTACTTCAGCTGCCTGTGAAGCCACGGTGAACCTGGCGACTAACTTAGATCTGTTTCGCCTTCTACCGTACATGCTCGGTTGGCACTGGCCAATATGCTACACGGATTCAGGTGCAGTCGAGTTGCTGGTGCTGCTACTGCTTATGGTGATACAGTTGGCATTGCCCAGTCAGTGTTCCCAATGACCGCATAATTGCTCTCTCCAGGACGATTTCAACTCATACCTGCAGATAGAGTGCTCTGACCGTCGTATTCGCTTGCCAAGTGGAAGCTTGCCCCCCCCCAGCTCTTTGTTCATTTCACACAGAGTTCATTTTGTGGTTCTCATTTTCCAAAAGACACCCTATTTCAATACAAACTTGCCGATGGCCATAAAATGCTCCGTTCCTGCTGAAGTTGCTAAGCTAGCAATCCCATAATTATTGCATAACCTTTGTGCGTGCTGCTTTGTGCATGCTGCTTTGTGCGTGCTCGTCCACTAGACATTGCTTTTATTGCCTGTCCTCTTTGGCATTTTTATTATATATGTTTTAACTCGCTCTTCGCACTGAGCTGGCCAACAGTGCTTGATAAGTTTATCAAAGGTGCACTGCACTATGATAATGTTTCATCTTTTAAAATACACAAGTTTGCTCAGTTCAACACTAGCGTTATCTTCAATGCGATGATTGTCACACAATGCGCTGGCAGCACCGGTGATTATCTCTATTCTGCTTCTGGACATCTTCTGTGTCATGGCCAGACTTTCTTTATATCCGTGGCACAGCAGCTAGGCTTTTTTATACTGTACAGCCACCCTCCCATGGTCTGCCCACTGAGGAGACAGCCAAGCTGCACTAGTGTAACTGCCTTTACGTTTGCATTGTCGTTTCCTTGCACTATCTCAATGTCATCTGGTTTATGACACTGTCAATGGATTTTTGCGTTGTTCCAGGCCAGGAGTATGGTCTATTATATTCTTCTTAGAAAACATGCCTTCGCCTGATTATACGACCTTATTGGGATCGCACATTTACTGAAATGAAGTCTACAGTCATTATAATTATGCCTATGTCTCCAGTACTACATGATTCCTGAGTGGTACAATCTCCAAGAGTGCATGACCCCTTCTTTTCCTCTTTTAGTACCCGCAGTTGAAAGCGTTGCTTTCTGCACTGCAGGGAACAAGAGCAAATCCCTTGGGCCCTTTTTCTTGGGCCTTTTTTCACTTAGCACATACTGTCATAGATGATGACATTGTATTGTATGTGTCATGTCACATAGTCATTGTCCAAACTCCTGGGATACAAACCCCCAACACGAGGCAGTTTTTCTTGTAGTTGTACGGATGAAAAGCAGTTTTGCAAGATGATCCCTGACTGCCTGTGTGCGTGTGATGATTGTGATAGATCTACAGAGACAGTCATGTACAGTCATGTAGATCTACTTGACTACTGCCACACTGACTGTAGTTAGGCTGCACAGCTGTCACACTCACACAGGCCACAGCAGCAGCATGCAGCACTGCACTGGCAGACTCGGTGACTGAGTCTCTACGAGCTAGCTGCTAGTTGCACGAGTCTACTCATCTATTTTATCTGGTCGTCCGTGATTACTACCAAAATACATGTCACTGATTACTATTGCACAGTTTTAGCTCGAAATCTAATTTTGTAGGCTTGTTACGTCTTCTTCTTTTAGGCTTGTGCAATTAGATCGACACTTACAGTCGCCAGATATGTGGAATGTGATTTGAGAAGCGTGACAATGGTTGTTATAGTTGCTCTTTGTCATTTTTGCGAGCTGTCAGGTCCGAGTATTGTCTTCACCACCCAGGTATTGTGACGAATTCTGCACTTGTAATGTTTTCATCGAAATAGTTCAGTGTCTTGAGTGATGGGGTTCTTAGTGTGGGATACGATGGGGCGACAAAGATATCAATTATGGCAAAGTCCTATACTGGTACACAATAATCTCGTGACCGTGTATTGCTGTTTCACCATTCCCTCCAGTCAGGCCAAATAATTCCATTGACAATTGTGACAAGAAAACGTCCTATGCAATGACACAGATTTGAGTATAATAGCTATGTACATAGTTGAATTTAGATACCGCACATCACTCATACTAATAAACATGAGAGTAGATAGTGCAGATGTACAATAGATGTCAAGCCGTGCTACATGTGTTGCTAGTGCAGGACCAGTCAGAAACACATGTGTTGCTAGTGCAGGACCAGTCAGTAACCATGGTAACACATGTGTTGCTAGTGCAGGACCAGTTCAAGGCAGTATACAGTACATGTAGTGGGTGGCATGTTGGGGGGGGGGGGGGGGGGGAATGGTCTATGTGTATGTTTGTGTGTGTGTGTGTGTGTGTGTGTGTGTGTGTGTGTGCGTGTGTGCGTGTGCGTGTGTTATTACCATCACTGGGGGCAGGGGTAAATGCAGTTGGATCCCGGGACAGATAACCTGATGACGTCAATCCTTTTCTGCACCTTGTCCTCACCCACTTACTGTGTGGTGAACCCATAAGTGGGATCATTTCCAAGTCCACCCAGAGTTTTTGGGATTTCAGGAGGTGTCGGCCGTTGGGCGATTCTGTGTGTGTGTGTGTGTGTGTGTGTGTGTGTGCGTGCGCGCGTGTGTGTGGTGCAGTGGTATGTGCAGTCGATTTCCAATCGAGAGGTTGCGCGTTCAATTCCCGACGATTATGGTCGCACACGTCTTTCTTTTCTTTCTCATTCTCCTAGCTCTTATAACATTCTCCTGGGTTGTTACCAACAGCCAGTGTATGCCGTAGTATGTGATGTGGAGTGTGTGTTCAAAAATGAATGAAAAATGAAAAATAGGGATTCACTGGCCAGAAAAAGCCACTTCAAACAGCTGTGTGGTTGATATCAGGCTAAAAATTAGTGGCGGTTAATTCATCAGCCTTGCAAGCTGTTGAATGGTGTAATCCCAGCACAAGTTGCTATGTCTAACATAGCTGTTCGCTATCATCGCTTCCACGATGAGCATGTCTGAGTCTGATTGTGTGTGTGTGTGTGTGTGTGTTCTGGTGTGTGATATGCATCTATGTTAGACAAGGCAGTTTGGAGCTGTGGACAATGAGGCTGCACTGGTAAGTTGTCTTACGTTGTGGATAAGTGCAATGTTGCACCTTCGATCTTATTACGCCCAATCATCCTGCGACTACTTGTAGACATGTTGTTGTTAAAAAATTGCCAACCTCGTGGCAAGTGGACATTCACAGTGACCTGTAAGAGCAGATATTCTACACACGGTGTCGCACCGCAAACTGTAGGCTTAGCCTTGCTTCTCTGCATTGTGTACAACTGGCTTGTGAGTCTGCTTCTGATTGCTGGAGAGCTCGCACAGTTTAACAACACTCGCTGATTGCCACCTCCTTCCCAGGCATGCTAAGTCAAAGCTGACGCCCAAAATCATTAGGAAAATCATTAGGAAGGTTGCCTATTAGTTGTTGGATTGCCGCCGAATCCTTGTAATCGTCATCGATACGATGTCCAGCTTTCCTGTCACTCGAGTTAAACCTTTGAACCTTTGAGTTGAACCTTGGTGTGGAAGTTGTAGCCTGCAGGCACGGTGACCAGGCGACTGGTGTACGCATGAGCATGTGACCGCTTACTCACCCGTGTTTGATTGGGAATAAGGGCCGAACGCTGAATTCAGCCTTTTGGGACAAAACCAATCGACCCAGCGTCCAAAAGACTACAACATATGGACCGATCGCGGTCATCCGTGCTTTTATAAGAACAAAACGGCGCTTTCTGTGACATTTTGCACACAAATCCCGATGTAGTAGGGCGCAGTCACCCAGTTTCGGTGGAAGTGCGCGAGTTCGATTGGGAATAAAGGAGGAAAGGAGCATCTCAGCTTCCTCGGACCAAGACCATTCGACTCAGCACCCCGGACACTACAACTGGTGAACATTTGATTTTAGGGTATACTTCCCGGCTTTAACTTAGGTGTTGTTCGTGTAAGTTATCATTCTGATTGGTGGATGGTCCCTTGCAGTATCCCGTAATCCCCCCCCCCCCCCATTTCTGAGCCCTGCGTGTTTTTGTTTTTATGTGTGTTTAGCGTGATCAAGGCTATGAAGTTGTGGAGCGGCGACAATCATCAAGCAATCTTGCAGCAAGGTACATTGCATCATGGAAAGATGTACTGAGCCCGGCTTTTGCTTTTACGTCGAAGAAGTTTCGGACTGCATCTGTTTTGGATCTGTCCCTTTTGAATTGCTGTAGATCCTTGCTGAGTGTGCACCTCTCCTTCAAGGGCATCTCCACAATTCAGGGTACATTGTTTTCAGGCCCAACTGCCACCAGTCAAGTAAAACACAGTATACTGTAAAAGCCATATAATATATTATTATATAACGAAGTGCTAACTCTAACGAGTTAACGAGGAGAAATCTGTCGTTAAAATAGAAATCGTTATACAGAAATCGATACATATACTGTCCTATTGAGCGTTGAGAATGAGTGAGAATTGTTACCTTTGGTACACGTAAACTAGTCAATTTTGGGAAATCGCCCTAGACCTGCGAACACTGGGCTGCGAAATGATGCAAGGCGGAAACTTGAGTGACACGACTGTATTTCATTGAGCAGGACTGTACTTCGAAGTGTCTGCACTTGATAGGGTCCGTTGTTGTTTCATATCTTTGCTCTCACGTTGTTGTTGTTGTTGTTGTTGTTGTTGTTGTTGTTGTTGTTGTTGTTGTTGTTGTTGTTGTTGTTGTTGTTGTTGTTGTTGTTGTTGTTGCTGCTGCTGCTGCTGCTGCTGCTGCTGCTGCTGTTGTTGTGGTTGTTGCTGTTGTTTCTAATCTTTATTCTCACGATAGCCAGTGGCCAATAAGAGATAGTTGTTGTTGTTGTTGTTGTTGTTGTTGTTGTTGTTGTTGTTGTTGTTGTTGTTGTTGTTGTTGTTGTTGTTGTTGTTGTTGTTGTTGCTGCTGCTGCTGCTGCTGCTGCTGCTGCTGCTGCTGCTGCTGCTGCTGCTGCTGTTGTTGTTGTGGTTGTTGCTGTTGTTTCAAATCTTTATTCTCACGATAGCCAGTGGCCAATAAGAGATAGTTGTTGTTGTTGTTGTTGTTGTTGTTGTTGTTGTTGTTGTTGTTGTTGTTGTTGTTGTTGTTGTTGTTGTTGTTGTTGTTGTTGTTGTTGTTGTTGTTGTTGTTGTTGTTGTTGTTGTTGTTGTTGTTGTTGTTGTTGTTGTTGTTGTTGTTGTTGTTGTTGTTGTTGTTGCCGTTGTCATTGCGTTGTTGTCGTTGTTGCCGTTGTCGTTGCGTTGTTGCTGTTGTTGCTGTTGTTGCTGTTGTTGTTGTTGTTTTTTTGCGTTTATCTACTGGCATGTAGTGATTGTTCTTGGTGCTTTGTATCTTTCTGACACACAGCCATAATTACAAACTAGCACATGTACCTGCAGAGCTTGCTGCATTGAGAAGAATAAGGCAACATCTTACTAGAGCATGCCATGGATTACTGTGGAACGGGTAATTTGAGCGACGTAAAAACCCTAGCGAATTTAGCGATCGACTCATTTTCGCTAAAGTTTCAAGTCGCTAATCAGTTGAGACATTAGTAGTGCACTGGTGATCCGTGATTACAATGCAGGACTACATCATAGTACATGTAGTAGTAGTACTACCGGTAGCACCACAGTCAATTATTAGCACATGTTTTATGATGTTCTCTCGTACTAGCACTCACAGTACACGGTAGTGATGGTTTGTACTAGCACTCATAGTACACGGTAGTGATCTGATGGTTTGTACGGACAGTAGTAGAATGCAGTATCAAAATGTGTACAATGAAGAAAAATGCAAATCGCCAAAATAAAACGTCGCTAACCGGTTGACAATGGGAAAACGCTAAAATTAATAGTCGCTAGAATTACCCGTTCTACAGTATATCGTGAGCCTGCCAGTTTTACTTTTGTGCATTCTCCGCTTCAGAGTTCCTGGAGCGACAGCAGCAACGGCAGTGTCGGATGTAGCGTTGGCTCCAGCATCTGCAGGTCTGACTACTCCAGGCATGGCTGTGAGTTTAGTTAGAAACTTGAAGTTGTATTTTCCCCCGTCACTGCTAGCCATTGTGAGCTCCAGTCAAATTTCTTGGTTTGGAGCACAGAATAGTGTCCTAATTCTCTAACGAGAGAGCTTGGAAGCTCAGGGCCCTACGCTATGCTTTTATGCTTTTTTGCCTAGCTCATCGTACATGTTATTTGAACTGATGGAAATGTGTTTTTTCCCGTTGATTGGCCACATCATTGTATTGCCAAATGTTTCAATCAGTTTGAATATGAGTTCGGCAAAAGTATTCGCAGAATTTATTGCGGATTGTTATTTTTCTCTAATTTCATCCACTTTTGGTTTGCTCCTTCTTTTCTTTTTATCTCCTTATACTGTAAATCAACAAATTTTGGCCGATGAGAAACGAAACTTTTCGCCGTCATTAAACTTTGGCCGATTGGAGTTTTCAAAAAGAAATCGATCGGTATTTTTGCTCTCACAAGCGTCCATTGCTCAATCATGCATCATTTGCCTCTATGACAAACTTTGGCCTGCGATTTACTTTGGCCGGTTGGTACCAAGCGGCGAAATCAGCGAAATTAAATCGCCAGCGAAAATTAGTTGATTTTAATACAGTAATCGGATTTTCCGGCCTTTTTGTAGTAATACATTGACCTGTTGAGCCAATGAGGTAAAATTATATTCCATACAATACGATACTATACAATAATACAAAAATAATGTCCTTACCTTAATAGTGTGTTTGTGCTTAACTGCTGCTGATGGCCGAATGCATGGTTGCCTGTGGAGCACATTACATAACTTTACAGTCTCCTAAAATACGTATCCTGTCCGACGGCTAAAGAGGCTGCAGATTTAGTTTTTCTGCGCGTTATCAGCAATGACTACTGGTCTTCAGCAACTTGGGTCTCCTGTAATACGCATCCTGTCTATGCTTTCGTAATGCTAACATAATGCTCGGGATAGCACTCGCTACTGATCTTCGGAAACTTGGCCTGACTATCACTCACTCCTGGGACCGGCGCTGACTCTGCCGATCACGTGCGTTCTGGAGTCGACGGGATCTCTCTTCCGACGTTTCCTGTGACCGGCGCTGAATCGCCCGTTCACGCTTATTTTGGAGATGACGGGATCTCTCTTCCAAAGTTGTTTTTGCTGACGCATCCTATCACCTATTCGGCAACTGACGTCCATTCTAATTTCATTTCCTCCTCGTCTCTCTATTTCTTTCCAAATCTCCCTCTACATCAGGGAGTCGTATACATAATGCGACGAATATTGTGGCCAGCTGTTTGTGGCCAGCTGTGTTTGATGGTACGGTACGGGACAGATACGGGAGCCAGCAAATATTGTGGCCAGCTGTTATGTACAATCCTGTAGAGCCTTTGTAGTCACAGATACGGGACAGATACGGGATAGCTCCAGGCGTGACACAAACACACAAACAAACAAACAAATACCAAATTAAAGCTGTGTGGACCATGGCTAGCGCCAGACGTTACTGAAGTAACATCTTCTGCATAGCTACGGGAATAATATTTTATTCATACCGGTATATTGTTTTCACTTGGAGTGAGTTGTGGTAATGCGCATGAGAGAGAGAGAGAGAGAGAGAGAGAGAGAGAGAGAGAGAGAGAGAGAGAGAGAGAGCGAGAGAGAGAGAGAGAGAGAGCAAGAGAGAGAGAGAGAGAGAGACAGAGAGAGAGAGAGAGAGAGAGAGAGAGAGAGAGAGAGAGAGAGAGAGAGAAAGCCAGCTAGAGAGCTCGATACACCTAGGTGCCGAGTCTTCTACTGATACATAGATGGAAAGAGAAAACTGTCTGCAGTTGTGATTCTGAATTTCATGCACAAAGTGATCATCGATAATCGCTTTGTGCATGATATTCAGACAGAGTCAGAATCACAACTACAGACAGTTTTCTCCTTCCATCTCTGTATATGCATTGTTTTTCAGAATGCAGGTTGATTCCAGACAGTAAGAGTCCCGACGAGGCATGTGTATTGAAGTGCATTGGATGAAAATATGAACTCTTCACGCCCCAGCAAATTTGTTTGCGTCAGGGGTATTGGAAGATAGTTTTGGGGTAGTATAGTCCGCCATTGTAGGTGCTCCATAGCGGAATGTCCAGACCCATTGTAGGTGCTCCATAGCGGAATGTCCAGACCCATTGCCACATGTTTTGGTGAATGTCACCGTTGTCATCTGTTGCTGTGAATATTTTTCATTGACAGTTTGGCAATATTGTTTCTATACTTATTGCTTTATCAGTGTCTACAAGTTGGCGTTGATTCTTTGACTATGTTCATCTCTGTTCCATGTTCAGATGGGGAGAGGTGGTACAAGGCCGTCGGTTGAGCAGGCCACCGCTAGCACTGCTACTCCAGCATCTGTTGAGAAAGTCGATAATGAAGAGGTTAGTGGAACTCCGAGTGGATGGATGTCAATATGTTTGATAAATACAATCACGCACTCGCTTGTGGGTATTCACCTCGAGATTTTGCCTTTGCCTTCTTCCTTTGTCCCTTCCCCTACGCGCCCGTGCACCTTTGTCCTTGGTTCTCAGTCTTTGGTAAGATTGCAGTTCGGTTGTGCGTCTCCTGAATAGGGTCTGGCAGCATGGAGTTTACATATTTTTGGCGAGAAACACTTTGCACTTGTGCAAGTTGCGTTGAGTCCATGGACTGACTTTCAGCAATGACCACAACCAGTACAGTGCGCTATACAGTGCAGCAGGTCACAACCACGCACAGTGCGCTACTGTAAAGCGTGAAATTTTCGCGGCGTTTTTAGTTCGCGTTTTCAGAATCCGGACAGGTTTGCGAGGTTTTAATTTTGCGATTGCAGAATGGCATTCTTGCTAAACCTTTCATGGATCTCCTTTTCGCGCTGTCTAAATTTCGCGATTTCCACGCGGTTGCACCATCGCAATAATTTCACGGTTTACAGTATATAGTCTGTGTGTGTGTGTGTGTGTGTGTGTGTGTGTGTGTGTGTGTGTGCGTTTGTGTGTGCGTGTGTGTGTGTGTGTGTGTGTGTGTGTGTGTGCGTGTGCGTGCGTGTGTGTGTGTGTGTGTGTGTGTGTGTGTGTGTGTGTGTGTGTGCGTGTGTGCGTGTGCGTGCGTGTGTGTGTGTGTTGTAGGCATGCAAGAAACCAGACTAAGCACACGGAAAGAATAGACAACCAGCCATTGTGTCTCTCAGATTCTTCATCTGTAAAACCAGCTCAACAGCAGCATATGGCCAAGAGCATTACGCAATGCACTGTTACCATGACTGTGCACATCAGTACTACAGCCGTGATGTACAATGCATGACTACCACATTACCCCCTTCCCTAAGAAAAAAAGTTGTCTGCAAATGCAAACCTGTTTGAGAAAAAAAGAAGAGAAAAAAGAAAAAGGGAGAAAATTGCAGAAAAGAAAAGAACAATAAAATCGCAAAGGAAACAAGCAAGAATCAATTCAAAGCAACAAATTCGATACACCCTGACACTGACGGGTCAACTCACTGAAGATACATCAAACCTGTACCACGATACAAACAAAACGAACCAAACCAGCAACTAAATCGCAAATTGGTATAGTTTATACGCAACATGGTCAGTCAAAATGGAGATATTACATCAACGCACCAGCAGCTTTCGCAGTGAGCTTGACAGTGCGGCCAGAGCAGGTTACATAGCCCTCGCGATAGAGCGAGCCAGACTGGGCATCGGGCAGTGGTAGGCGTGATTGATGATGTGATTGGTCACTGGACTCGGGATGAATCTGAGCATCAGCCTCTTTAATCTCAGATTCCACTCCTGCTTCACACGGAGCAGTAGGCGTAGCAGGTGGCACATCTGCATTAGGTGCCGAGGATTTCGCTTCTGACTCTGTAGCTGGCTGGGGATCTGGTGTCGGAACTGGCTGGAGATCCAAAGACCGACAAGAGGTGGCAGTTGATGACGCAGGTGAAGCATGTTCTCGCACATGCTGCCGATTTCGGAGCAGTCCTGGCCATACAGGATTTGGCGGCCAGACGCGACTGGGACAACAAAACAACTATACACGATGCTGCGTGATCCAAGAGAGACCGTAACATCAGCCATACCGAGTGTCGAGATGACGCCGCCATTGTACGCTTTCAAGATTCGATCACTCTTTCGGGTTGGCTGGACAACATCATCGGTTAGCACTGATCGGGTAGCACCTGTATCCAGTAGTCCTTCACAGGGACGGCCGTTGACGATCAGCGTCTTACGAAACAATTGCTGGTGCTGAGAAGTATCCACTGAGAATGCGTAATCACAGAAATAGTTGGCGTCATCCTCCTCCACCTGTTCGGATGTCATGCGCGCATTATCAGACTTGCGCGACAGGCATACTGTTGTAAAGTGGCCGACTTTCGAGCAGTTGCCACAAGTAGAATCCGCTGCAGAGCAATGCTGCTTGCCTCTTGGATGCGAGCGGCCACAGTACTTGCACTTCCCAAACTTCTTGTGCGCAGAGGCAGGCTGGGAGTGTGGAACACGGTGAATTTGAGAGAATGAATTCGACAATGGAGTAGCTGCAGCGTCACCATAAAGCTTGCTGTCCGTGATAGAGGACTCGAGTGCCACAGCTTTGCTCACAGCATTGGCTAGTGTCAACTTTGACTCTTTGAGAAGTTCTTTACGTAGCTCCTGAGATCGCAGGCCCTCGATCAACTGGTCACGGATTTGTCCCTGATCGATGGTGTCCACGGCAGTAGACACACATTCACAGCGATCAGCTGCTTCGCGCAGGCGTCCCACAAACGATGTGACAGACTTGCCCTCATTCTGGCAAAGCTGACGGAACCGGTGGCGCTCCGACGTTGTGTTTGTGGCAGGACGAAAATGAGCAATCACAGCATCCGTCAGAGCTTTGTACTCACATCCGGCACTGCCATCGGCCTGAGCTGGTGGAGTAGGAACTACGATTCATTTAACAATACGCCTGACAGCGAGGCCTGCAAGGTTCAGAAACAGCCTCTTCTTATCAGCTGCCGTCGTAACTCCACAAATTTTCAGGTAATCATCAGCATCCTCGAGCCACAATTCGAAATCGGCTCCGATGCTGCTGGAAAAGTCAGGTACAAATTCCTTCGGCGCTCTGCCTTTGGGAGCGGACATGGCGACAAATCCGTGCCTGTTCACTGCGCCAATGTAGGCATGCAAGAAACCAGACTAAGCACACGGAAAGAATAGACAACCAGCCATTGAGTCTCTCAGATTCTTCATCTGTAAAACCAGCTCAACAGCAGCATATGGCCAAGAGCATTACGCAATGCACTGTTTTTTAATACCATGACTGTGCACATCAGTACTACAGCCGTGATGTACAATGCATGACTACCACACGTGTGCGCGTGTGTGTATGTGGGTGGGTGTGGGTGTGTATGGGTGTGTGCATATGGACGCGTTGTGTTGTGTTGACAGCAGAGTCATGACACACGACTAAAGCAGCATTGCCAGGTGAGTTGATTAAACATTCAGTATTGATTACTGTGTGCAAAGCTCACAGTATGTTTCTCACGGTTAGAGAACACTGTGACAGGTTGATGCTTTGAACCGATGTAAAATGCTTTGTTGTTGACTAGACCTCATTGCGGTCGGTTCAGCCAGTGACTCTGAAGTCCGCTAATGAGATCAGCTAGAAATGGCTAGCTGTCTGGTGATTAAGTAGACTTGATTACTAGTATATACATACCGGTACCTTTACTATCAGGACACTCCCGCTTATCAGCCTAATACTGAATGGAAAACCAGCTGGTCGTGGTTGTAGAGCTGAGAAGTAGACTGCCAGACACTTAGATGACTAACTTTTCAAGCAGTGAACTGGAGTACATGTACACGTACCGTTGTCGGTGTATGCAGCATATTGCACTTGACCGCATGCTATGGAGATCCATGGCAGTTTGATTTCACATCATTTTTTGTCCTTGAGCTGGCGCACATCCTGCTCAATACAAGTGTGTTTGGAAGAACCCACTCTCCGTTGGTCAAGCTTGAGTAGGCTGGTGTATCAGTGTGACTATTCAGTGATCTTGAAATGTTGTTTGTGGCAGATAAAAGGAATGTGGCTCACTTGAATGTCAGCTTCTGACGGTACAAACATTTAGGGCGCGTTTGGTTGGTATGAACTAGAACAGGATTCACCAGAACAGCGCGTTTGGTTGGGACTGCACCTGTTCTGGGTTGGCCAGAACATGTTCTGCTTGCTCCGGCCTTGAGGCCGGAGCAGACCGAGCAGTTTAACTTTTTCACTGTGAAACCTGGCGGGGAGCATCGATTTTGGTCCCAAATGATCACGTGCATACGCTTTTGGGTTGGATTCGTTGTACCGTACAAAGTGACCATGGTGACCCATACACATTGATGAAGAATGCACCAAGTTTGGCACATTTTTCACAAAAATGTGCTCTGTTTCTGGAGTACCGTTTGGTTGGCATGAGGCTGCTCCATGTGCACCAGCTGTTCGGTCCTGTTCTAGATCGTATCAACCAAACGCACCCTTACACTCCATGACTAAAAAATGAGCACCAAGGAGCACGAAACGAATTCCGTTGCAGTATCTGACAAGATAATGAGGCACACAGTCACATAAATGAGGTTTTCTGCAGAGATGTTTCGAAACCTCAAACTCGGAACACAAATGTCATTATGAGCATTCGATTTGTGCTCGTTTCATACTTGAAATAGAAGTATTTGTGTGGAATGCGGAAGGCGTCTAGGGACAGATGACGTGAAACCGATGATAGAGTCCCCTATTGAATGCTTGCGCTTCATTCGAACAAGTTTTGGCAGTCAGCTCTTTAATGCGCGGTCCCATTTCGAAAAAGAGTCATAGTTTAGAAGTTTTGTGGCAAATAGGAGCTCACAATTTTTTTTAGAGCTGTTTCTGACTAAGTTGTGGCTGCTGAAGACGATAAAAGTATCGGCAAGTCTGTACAGTTGTCTGGGCTCCTATAGGTTACGAGTTTCTAGAAAATACCACCTTGGACCTTAGACTACTTGTCTTGGTTAGAAAATGGTACATAACAATGTCAAATGACGACCCCTGTTATGGCACAAAGAGGGTACAGGATGTGATGTATAATCAAGAGGTTATGTACTCTTGGTATAATGTATTCCATGCTGTTGCTCTGTGTGTGTGTGTGTGTGTGTGTGTGCGGATGCTGTTGCTCTGTGTGTGTGTATGTCCGGATGCTGTTGCTCTCTGTGTGTGTATGTGTTTGTGTATGTGCGGTGCTCTTGACAGGCATGCCAGTCGTTCAGTCAGCAGCACCATGGCTTTATCAGTACTGATCCTGCCACCAACATGCACTACCTCACTTCCCAAGAGCCATACACTGCAGCTCTGTATGGTACTGTTCGACACGCCTGCCTGAGGAGGTTAGCTACTCTCTACTATTCATTGCATACATACTGTGTGCTTTGTGGAAGTCTATGTAGATTTCATGCAAAACTGCTCTATTCTGTCCAGAATGCTATGTACACGATGGGGTGAGCCAATTGTTTTGTCCACTGCAAGCTGGCAACAAACACTACCTGCTACCAGCTTACTGATCTAATCGTTCATCCTCTGTTCACCTATTGGTATGCCTGTCTGTCTGTCTGTCTGTCTGTCTGTCTGTCTGTCTGTCTGTCTGTCTGTCTGTCTGTCTGTCTGTCTGTCTGTCTGTCTGTCTGTCTGTCTGTCTGTCTGTCTGTCTGTCTGTCTGTCTGTCTCTGTGTGACATTGTTTGGGTGTTAACAATTATGTTCCTGGTACTTAGTATGCCGTACCGTGTGCACTAACCCCGGTGTGTACGTGTGTCTGTGTCTGTGTATGAATGGATGTGTGGATGTGTTCTTGCAGTTTAAGTTCTGAAGGCTGCCCTGGACGAGAAGGCCCGGTGTTGTTTGGTTCCGACCAGCAAGGCTACGTGTTTAGTTTCACATTCTATCTCAAGGACAGTGAGGCTCGCGGTCGAACTAGACTGTAAGTAATGTATTCACAGACTGAACTAGACTGTGAGTAACGTATTCACAGACTGGTCACGCACAATGTTGATTTGGTGAAATTAGTCTTGCTTTATAGAGCATACAGAATCTGTAATGCTACGTATGATGACAGGCTGCAGAAGCCTCCTACCAATAATATATGCAAGCATTGCATCGCATCCCCTTCAGGCCAACACTATTTATTCCCGTAGCTATGCAAAAGACGTTACTTCAGTAACGTCTGGCGCTAGCCAGGGTCCACACAGCTTTATTTCCGTGTATGTTTGTGTGTTTGTGCCTTCGGCATGCCTGGCGCTATCCCGTACCTGTCCCGTACCGTACCATCAAAGACAGCTGGCCACAATATTCAAATAGGGCTTTCAAATTCAACTCTCAACGACTCTCACCTCCTAATCCGAAATAGGGCTTTCAAATTGAAGATCATATCGTGAAGCAACTTGGAAGAATGAGTATGTATGTGAAGCGTATCGGGGAAATGCATGCAGGGCGATAGTGTGGGTTCGAATCCTAGATCATGTCTTGAAAAAATAGGAGAAATGGAAAATTTATAACATCCCTATGCTTCTTTTGCCTAGGTCATCAAGGTGGTAGACGGTGTCGTATTACCCTCGAATGCAAAAGAGAAAGTCTATTTCTTTCGGTCAGGGCCCTACGCTATGCTTTTTTGCCTAGCTCCTCATGCATGTTATTTGAACAGATGGAAACTTTTTTGCAATACAATGATGTAGCCGATCAGTTCGTTGTGGTATGGTTGGGCATTGTAGCCGTCATGGTCGACGTAAAACACTATTTAAAGACCGCAACGAAGTTGGGACCAAAGAGAAAGTTTATTTCTTTCGATGCGAAAATAGCCAATCAATGGAAAAAACATGTCCCTCAGTTCTAATAACATGCATGATGAGCTAGGTAAAAAAAAGCATAGCGTAGGGCACTGAGCTTCCAAGATCTCTCGTTTATTATCTAGTTCAAACTCCCCCATATGTGCTCTTCGGTCATGGATGACGGGGGGGGGGGGGGGGGGGCTAAATATTAGTAATGATGAACAGGTCGAAATCTGCTGGTGTCTACCCTTCTGACTACAGTCAAACCTCTTTAGGACGAACACCAAGGGACTGGTGATATTTTGTTCGCAGTAACGGGAGTTCTTCTTATCCGTATGTTATACTCAGTGAGTACACAGTGATTTATCCAATGGAGTTACGAATACTAGTTCTTCTTAAGCAAACCTTTGTCTTAACAGTGTTCTTCCTAACCAGGTTTCACTGTATTTAATTTTGTGGCTTTTATTCACTATTTACTGGTCCTGCATCACTGGGGGGGGGGGGGGGACTAGAGATGGGGAGGCTCAAAGCAGTGAGGGATCCAAGAAAACGCAGAAGTGAAGGGTACAAAACCTTCTACATGTATGTCGTATCTCCTCCTGTAAAAAATCGCCACCGCTCCAAAACACTCCAAGATGGTGCCTAGTGTATGATGATAGTGTAATTTGATATCAATACAAGAAGACGAAGCAAAATCTAACACTGCTCTGAGCACGCAGCGCGGAAATTCTCC